GATTATATGTTTTATGTGTCAAGCCAAAATAGGACAAATTAATGATTCAAAAACTTTAGCGAAGACAGACAATATGGATATTGGTCTGTAATTTCTGACGGATCCTGCGTCTCCTGATTTAGACTAGTAAGAGTTTTGAATACTAGATCTTGTGAGAAGTGCAGATTAGCAAGATAATTTGAGGTACAAATCTGGTCAATAGTGGTCGCAGACAGTACAGAGCTAGTGTTATAGACCAACGCGAAAAATGATGCAAAGAGGTTGCATATGCCGTCACCGTTACCTGCTTTGTCATCTTCGAAGGTCATGGTTGAAGGGTAAGCATTGCTATTACGTTTTTATTTTTTATGAACATCCCGAATACCTTTGGATTTTTGGAAAGTGCTCCCTCCAAATTAGCGACATAGTTTTTATGACAGGTGTCTATTAGGATTTTCTCAAAACCGTTACTTAGTTGACCTTTCCGCCATAAAAGGAAAACAAACTTCATGTTTGGATGTGTGGCGGCGCTGTCGTCGCGCCGCAAGCGAAACACACCGAAGCTTATATCACGCTATCACTCGGAGAGTTGGCCGCTCCCCGGGTAGAACACCTTGCCCTTCGGGAGATCTCACCTTTTCCTTCCTATGGCCACAGTGGTGACCCCGACTTGATCTGAACACGCAACCAACAACCTTCGAAAACTTCAAGCTTCATCGTCGTCATAGAATACCCTACCCATTCGCTTCCGAACAGATATCGTCCGCAGTCTTCGTATCCTGCAAGGCAACTAGCTTCACAAGATTCATCGCAGCACTGGAATAATAATGCATCCTGTTCCTTCAAGCTACTCTCTGCGCTATACAGTGTTCGGCACGGGTCTGAGCCTTACTGCTCGCCTCTGCTTCACGGCACTCTCGCAGATTACTTGCCTTTTTCTCGACTCACCGCAGACTACAAGGCAATGCACTGGCACTTGCACATTCGTCGGCAACGAGGCTGCACTATCGACCTCCGGTCTGAGCAGGGGGGTGATGTGGTGGCGCTGTCGTCGCGCCGCAAACGAAACACACCGAAGCCTAACCATAAACAGTATATATAGAACAGCTCCGAACCCGGGAGATCTCCCCTTTTCACCCATATTTTCATTTGTTTTTATAATCGGCTGGACACATGATTTATGGTTTTATATCAGACTGAAAATAGCAGTGACAATATCATGACAGCTACACTTGATTGGATGGTGAAAAAAATATCTTCCCTTCTTATTTTTTGATGATGAAGCTACGAAAGTATATTTTTTTCGATCGATTTGCCCAAATATAGTGTTTCCTAAAAGGTGTACACTTAGAAGGAAGGTCAATGAGAGATTTGAAGAGCTTCAATTGAATCTTAAGAAACGACTACAAAAATTTTCGTCTAAATGTCATTTACCATTAATGGGATGGACGTCAATTGCTGGTAGAAGTAACTACGAGGTCACTGTTCTTTACATAGACAACGAATGGAAGAATATTTATTGGAATATGACATAATTTATAAATTAAATAGCGTCACATTCGACAACACAGCTGCAAATACCCAACTGGATATACACCTGCCACACTTTGATTCAGACAATCAACATTTACGGTGCTTTGCTCACATTTTGAACCTTGGTGTACATTGTACATGTACATACACTATAACAAAATTACGCAGTAATTCCAGTAAAATAAAAAGAAGCAAGATATTGAAGAAGAAGTTTCAGTCTGCTTGTGAAGCAGCCATCAAAACCTGAATCCCATTCGACTGTCCAACGACATGTGATTCCAAACATGATATGATTGGATTTGGTTTAAAAGTGAGAACTGGTATTGACATATTGTGTACTTCTGTCACCTAATTGAATGATTTTCAAATCACAGATAGTGAATGGCAAATACTCGAAAAAATACATAAGTTTCTAATAAACTTAAAACTTTTGTCCAGGAAACTTGGTGGAGAAAAATGTGTTACATTACCGCTAGTCATTGTATCATTCAATCTCTTGCTCGATAAAATTGAATCCATGGTAAAACAATTTGATGAGAAACCTAACCGATTCGAAGTGGATGAAAGGCTCATTCTGGGTTTCCAAGCAGCTAGAGACAAATTGCTTAAACATTATAAGAAGAGCTGGAACTGGATTTATTGTACCTCTTTAATTTTAGACCCAAGGAATAAGGCTCAGACTTTTGACATGACATTATAGGGGATTAAAACAGAAATCCTCAGCAAATTTAAAAAACTTTATAAAAAATATAAAAGCCTACACTCAGTGAATAAATCTCTAGAATCACCAAGAAATAAAAAGAAAGTAAAGTGAATATGATGAAGATGAAGACGAAATAGACTTTCAGGAACTGTACGTATGTCCCTTGACGTCATCTGGATCTGGATCTTGTCTTCAAGGCTTAGTTATTGACGAGTTGGAGGAGTACCTAAGTAAACTCAGAGCCGTCAGCTCGGCAGATATTTTAGAGTGGTGGAAGACGCATGAGACAAAATATCCAACTTTATCGAAGATGGTCCGTGATTTTCTTTCAATACTTGCAACTTCAGTACCTGCTGAGAGATTATTTTCTGTAGCATCATTAGTAAAGTAGGTTAAGTGATGAGTCAGCTAGGTGGTTACTTTGTATTAATTCTTGGTCAAAAGAATTAATGTAAAGTAACAGCTATTGTGTACTGTTGTGTAATTTGTATTATATTTTATTTTTTATTTAAATAAATGCTAAATTGTCAAATTCTCACCCGGCCTTTTCCGCGTTTTTTTTCAGTATCTGCATCTGCAATATTTCTCCACACCCTTTTTTTTTCCTTTTTTTGTTTTCCACTTCATGGGTTGACTGGTAGAGAATGCTTTAAGGCATTAGGTCCGCCCTTGTATTCTTATACATTAATAAAGAATGCAATAAAGAATAAATAAATTGTATAACTTTTTTATCCTATTTCACATAAGGTGATGGTCTATCTAATGTTCTTTAAAATACAGTACCCGGTTGACCGAGCTTTGCTCGGTATTTTTCGCTCGGTTTTTTTTTAATTCGTGTGTTTTGGAAATTATATTTAGATACAAATTACATACTGATGAAATACGAATAATATTTTTTGATCTTAGCGACATAATAGAAAAAACTGAACTGGTTATTTAAATAAAAAATCATGAGTGCAATTAGTTTAATTTAAATTTTCGTGTTTTTAAAAAAAAAATAAAAAAAGGGCTCGAAAAAATAGATTTTCTCAAAAAAAGAAAGGAAATTGAAAAAAAAATTAAAAAAAAGTCGGTCGGTCGGACTGGGCTCGAACCATGGTATTACGATTTTGTGACCGCCCAATATACCAATTAAGCTATTTGTAATCATTAATAAACTGTCAAAATTTACCTTCTTATTCTAACGATATTGTAGCAGTTTTTCATTGCCTAAAAACATAGACAAAAATACATTTTCTAAAAATAAATCGATTTATTGCCCCCGAAACTCCCTGCACACAAAATTTTATGGTATAGGATTCAAGGTAATGTCATTATTTTGTAATTTATATGTTTTAACCATGTTTCAGCGAATTAAATATAAACATTTATTAAGAAACAGACTGACTCCCGTGGCCGTGGGACACGGTAGATAGCTCATTTGGTAGAACATCGGCACGGATCGCTTAGGTTGTGGATTCAAACCCCTCACAGTGTCAGTTGATTTTTCGAATTTTCGTTAAATGTTTAGACATTTATTAATTTGGTTGGTCTTTAATATGGCTATATTAATTCAAGTTCAAAATGTACCTACTCTGTTAAGTTGTTCTAAGATCTAAAGTAACGTTTAATAAATAGCAATAGGCTAAAAAGTAATACGAAACTTGCGAGAGTCTTGCTGCAAGACCAAGACCAAGATTGGGAGCGCAATACCAAGACCAAGACCAAGACCAGGTGCAAGATCAAAACCAAGACTGGCTAAGTCTCGTCTTGATTTGCATTTGGGTAACACTAGCCACCTGCATCCATCGACTTCCTCCTGCATGTCTTACCAGGCTCCATCAATTGGGGGGCGCTCTACACTGCCCAAATAAATATTTGTGAGTCTATAAATGTTAAAGTAGACATCATATCGTGGCAACGAGACGCACGTCAACCATGTCTAAAAAATCTACGAATATGTAAACGCGTCGTAGGCGTCCACGAATAACTCGATGAGTTACTCAGCGAGTTGCTCGTGCCGATAATTTAAACTGTAAACCATGTAAACTGTAAAAATGTTCTGTAGTTTGTAGTAGGGATATTACGGTAGTGGTTATACCGGAACCGACTTCTGAAGCGGAGTTTTTAAATTTGGTTAAATTCGGAACCGGAATCGGACTCGGAGGTGTAGGCAGAAGAGATAGGTGTGTGTTAAGCGCCCGTCTAACAAAATAAATGTTTCACACATTATTCATCACAAATATATTCAGTAAATACTTTCTTCGCCTTAACTGATTATTTGGTACTATAAACTGCATAAGTCGTCTGAATCCAATACCTTCCACGAAATTGAATGGAAGATCTTGCAAAGCAATCATTGCCACTATGCATTGACCTTCTAACTAACTTCTGATTAAAATTTACCGAAATCGGAATCGAAGGTAGATAATCAATCGGAAGTTCCGAACAAAAATTTGCTAAGGGGAAAATTTAGATTTTATCAGAATAGGATCGCTTTTTACAAGTACTTCTGAGGTGAGAGAGCTGTGAGCTCCGATAGGAGTAATTAGCTTGCTACATATTTATTTATCTATGGGAGTAATAGATAGTGTTCTGTGGCTGTGAGGGTTTGAGGGTGTGAGGTAGTCTGTGGTCAAGATCGTGAACGAAAGCGATGATATTTTTTCTAAAATTAAGTTAAAAAATAAATTGCGTACATATTGTGCTTGATTTAGTAATAATTATTAATATCTTTTAAATTTAAGTAATATGCTGTAGTGTGTTAAAGTTTTCTAAACGAAATTGATAATAAATTATCAACAAAATGGCCAAGTAAGTACACATTAGAATTCGATCTATTTGGGTTTCTGAAATTGACTGTCCTTGCGCGAAATCATAATTGGGATAATTTTATCTCAAATAAAGATTTAATTCGTTAGTAATATTTGCCACATTAATTTTACTTGCCCAGACTGCGTATTATAAATTTTTCTTTCATAATTGTTCACAAACCGTAAACAATCCACCGTAAACACCACACTAACCTAATAAACCATCCTTTTACAATAGAATAGAATTATTTTTATTCAATAAAGATCACAAGCAATACAGAAAAGCCGTTTATTATGTTTTTATCACCGGTTAGGAAACCTTTGCCTTGTAAAGAACTGGCAAGAAACCCAGGAGGATTAGGGTTTTTATGTATAAAACATGCATATTATGTTGTCTAGATCCAAAAATCACCAGTATGAAGCCGGGGCGGATTGCTAATTGAATATAAAGTTTATTTATTATATTATTACATTACTTAAGTTATGATGATAAATAAATTTAGCATTCAAAATTAAACAAAGAATAAATTGAATGAAATACTATTACAGTTCCTAATACTATTGTTAGTCAAGTCTTCTTTAATATTATAAGAAACACTTTATATGTACAGCTTGTATTTAGAAAAATTTAACTTTTTGATATTATATTATAGGCTCTGAATATTTTCCTGGGCTTTATTATTTGCTCTTTGATATTAACTTAATGCTATTTTTTTTTTGCTTATTCCTAATATTAACGTAACTATTTGTAATCTTTATATATATAATTCTTCTGTCCATGTGAATTTGACTGAACTCTTTTTTATTTAAATTTACCAGTAGGTACTGTTGTCGAGATCTAGAAATCAACACTAAATATGCTAAGAATATATATTTTTTTAGATTGGATTTAGGTTATAAATAGTTCTCATGGCTCTAATCTCACAGAATGCTACTATTAAATAACATAAAGCTGTTGTATTTTACATGATGATTGTTGAGTACTGGGGACCATTTTACTGATAATAAAGCATGCCATCTTTGTCCTCAAGGGTAACTTGTCAAAATTTTGATTCTTATCTGAGGATAAATGTAGGTGTCCATGGGTCACAGAATTCACATACTATTATACTGGTTTATCATCCTTAATAGTTTCCTGTAGGTGATTAAACAATCAAAATGTTCATATAATATATATACAGGGAAAAGGTTAAAATCACCCTACCTATAAACCATAATATAATCATCATCATAATATATGAATTCTTCTTTTTTTGTTTTAGGGAAATGATGATAGTGTTTGTGTATGACACACAATGCTGCGTCTCAGAGGAAGATGACCCAGCCGAGGCTGTACTTTACTTCCATCCTGGATGGGTTTCTGACACACAGAGACATGCTTTAGCTGGACAGGTATTCCTTTCTAATATTTTTTTTAATTGGAGCGATGGAAAACGAGGTTGTGGCTCACCTGATGGTAAGTGATCACCGTCACCCATAAACATCTACAACACCAGGGGAATTGCAGGTTCATTGCCGGCCTTTTAAAAAGGAGTCTTTCTTGAAGGTCCTTAAGTTGTATCATTTTACGTGGTTGAATCATGCTGCAGCTTTATTATGGTTATAACACAAATAGGTTGGCTCGACTGGAGTAGGACCACGCTTTCACAGAATACCAGTGTAGCGGCTTAATACTGCTGTGCTTCATATGGTGAGTGTAGAGAAGTGGAGACCCTTTTTACTGGAAACGAGGCATTCCATCTTATTCCTGTAACAGTTTTTATTGTCATGAACCTCAAGCTCGTAACACTATGTTCCATATGGTGAGTGTAGATATTCGGATATCATTTTTTACTTGAAATGAACATTTTATTTTAGTCCTCAGGGGTGACAACACCTGCATTTTGATTCTTAATCAAGGATAGATGTAGATGTATATGGCCCACACCATCCACTTGCCATCAGGTGGACTGTGTGCTTGTTTGCCACCATTATTCTATTTAAAAGAAATTGACACGGAAAAACTGCTAGCGACTGTAAATGCACAGTTTGGTCATGCGAGGCAGAAAATTCCACATGAATTCCCCAATAGACCAGCCATTGAGATGATAAGGATGTAATTTTGAGTTCTGTCACAATTATTATTAAACTAACATATTTGTGCAACTAAATGTTGCACCAAGTGACTAGTGAATTTACAATTTGAAAATTAAATACATAACATGAATATTCTGTGTGTGACCATCACCCCTGAAATCTTTAACTGCAATTTTTAAATACTGATTTACCACATTGTAGAATTTACTTTAATTAGATATGGCTTAGGAACCTTCAAGAAGAAAACTTTCTCCTTCCTAAAAGGCTGGCACTTATTTCTCAAGTGTGGCAGATTTTCATACACTATAATAATCACTTACAATCATGTGAGATATAAGCTCTACTATAAAAAACCACATAACAATTGGTGAAAATTTTGTGCATAAACTTGCATGTGGGAACTACCTAAATACTTTGTAGGACTCTAGCGTAATGCTGATGTCCATGTGGTCTCATAATCGTGTTATAGCATTTACAACTGATAAGGTATATTCCCGCATGCTTAGTATCTATCTAGAAACTTCATATTTTGAAGTTAAGTAAAAACTAGAGATGGGCCGAATATTCGTTTCATGTTCGGTATTCGGCATATTCGGCAGCTTTACCGAATATTCGTATTCGGCGGAATATTCGGCAAAATCACCGAACATTCGTTAAAGTGGTACTCAATATTGAAATGTACGAATTGAGTAATGCCATGTCTTTCATAATTTTACTCTTGAAGGTACTTGCTACTACTTGCATAGTCACTAATTGTATGGCGTTATATTTTTGAGGCACTATAGGTTTATTTCCAAAGCTTGATAAAATGTTTTTTTGGAATAAAGCAAATAAACATTACATTACATTAGTACATTTCACTTTATTTTGGTCGTCAGTTTCTCTAAACTAAGTCCAAATAGTAGATCTCCTGCTACTCATTTTTATCATTTATAATTAAATGATAAAAATTATCACTAAGAATAGCACATCGAAATACTTTTTTTCTCACGAAATTGTCAAAAAATAAGCATGTGTCGGCAATTTGCACAGTGCTAAATGATGCAATAACATGTCAAGTGTGGTGGAAGAGCTAGAGGCAGGGTCCGGCGCTAATCCCGCGCGCTTTACGGTAACAAGTCAATTTTGACATAAATTGGTTAGATACCGAGGTGGATCCTGCCGAATATTGTTCGGCCAAATATTCGGTTCGGTAAAACTTTAACCCAACTTTCGGCCGAATATTCGTATTCGGTGAAATCCATATTCGGCCTAGCTCTAATAAAAACTAACTTGTAAGTGACAAATTAAAAAACAGTTGTGTAACAGTCAGGCAAACATAAATTCTTCGTACTTGGCGTTCACAATCAGGTCATACATTTACTGCTTAAGTCTTTGAACTTTCATAACGCATTCAGATTTCCAGATCAGCGAAGTGATGAAAATTAGACTAAAGTAATAATTTCCTTCATACCGAATTTCTCTCACGATGGCCAATCTCGACATAGACTAGTCATCTGCGCAGTACAAGATTATAGCGCCCTAGCGTATGCACGAGCAGATCAGTTCACTCTCTCTTCCCTTACTCTAATAGTTTGATGGGATAGTATCCGACATGACCAGATAGATCAGGTGCAAGATCAACGACTTTACGTGCTTTCCGAGGTCCGGAAGTGAAACACCGGCAGCTTCCTGACTTCGGGCTACTAATGAGAATTTCTTAACAGAAAAACCCAATGACTGATTTTTGTACCCGACTCGGGATTCATGCCCAGAACCACATGTTCAGCAGTCGTGTTTACGATCACTAAACCAAGAGCCTAAAGTAACCGACGTAATATTACGCTAGTTTTTTTTTTTAATTTCTATAAGTTATAATGTACTAGAGATGGGCCGAATATTCGGCTAAATCACTGAACATTCGTTAAAGTGGTACTCAAAGTGTCCACTGTATTGAAATGTATGAATTGAGTAACTCCATGTCTTTCATAATCTTACTGTAGAAAGTATAGTCAAAGTCAAAGTCAAAATCTTTATTTGCAGAATAAAATGTTTGGGTAATACAGGTATTTAGTATAAGAGTAAGTCTCAATAATATTCTACCGGGAGTTGTACTGGTGTGCAAATATATCTTAAAATAATCAAATTTAATTGTACATATATGTCAAAAGATTCAAATAAATTATATAATACATTAGATAATATTGCAATTAATTAAAATATTCCTTAACCACTATAATAACACTTGTCAAAAAGCCATTTATTAATCTCAATTTTGAATTTATTCAAAGGCATTTCTTTTAAGTTATTGGGCAATTTATTATATATTTTAATAGACATTATAGGAGCACTATTTGCATAAATTCTAGAGCTGCATATTTTGCTTGTATAGCGTTATGTTTTTGAGGCAATGTAGATTTATTTCCAATTATAGGAACTAGAAAGCTTGATAAAATCATTTTACGTTAGTACGTTTCGCTTTACTTTGGTCGTCAGTTTCTCACTAAATTATAAATTACAGCTAATATGCTGCTGGGCACAGGCCTCCCCTTCATTTCTGAGATAATTCAAAATCAATCAATTCGATTCAAATAAAATTTCAAAATTAAGGGAACGGCAGTAATCCCGCGCGCTTTACGGTAACAAGTTTTGACATAAATTGGTTAGATATCGAGGTAATCCTGCCGAATAATGTTCGGCTCGGTAAAAGTTCTACCGAACTTTCGGCCGAATATTCGTAATCGGTCAAATCCATATTCGGCCCATCTCTACAATGTACCCTGAATAGGATATAACATTTTTGTAAAAATGCATGACTTAATTCCTCCTGCCACCATCGGATAACCAGACGCTCGGCCAGTCTCCACCTCTTTGTAGTCGACATACCACACATACGAAGCTAAAGGATTGCTTCGACTTCCGTAATGCGAACAGCAAAGAAGTGGAATAATTTGCCAGGATCTGCCTTTCTGTCCGATTACACTGTTTTTCATCACCGACCGACTCTTGAGGTCTTGAGAAACGTATTTAATATTAGCTACATTAGAGATACCAGCGTTTGGTCAGATATTTGCTTTCATAATAAGAAAGCTTCTGTTCCCTATGTTACCACAGATATATATTTTTTTCCTTATCGCCGTTTTATGAACCTTATTTATTTATGATGTAAATCTAAAATTCCGAAACCTACGTAGGTACCATACTTTTACAGAATAATAATGTATTCACGACATGTTATGGGACCAGTTTTGTTACATTTACATGCATATGTAGATTTAGAATGTCTCGAATTATAATCACGTAGTAGACCCACTCTGTAATGTATTATGTCTGCTGCATGTATGTGTCAGAATAAAATAGCAACATGGTGCTATTTTGTTGGGTATATTGACTGAACGAGAAACAGAACTAAGATGCCCTTTACAGTAAACGAGGCTTCCCATCTTATTCCGCGGGCTCGACAACACATCTGTACTTCGATTTTTAATCGAACGTAATATAATATATATATAGAAACGTTACTTCCACAAATTGGGTTAGTTCCATATTATGATAATATATAGAGAAGGCAAATTATCAAACCGAGACATTTATCCTCAATTAAGAATTAAAATGCAGATGTGTTGTCACCCCTAAGGACTAAGATGGAATGGCGAATACCTCGTTTCCAGTAAAAAGGATCTCAGGTCACCATACGAAACACAGGAGCATAAAACTGCTATTCTAGGCTGGTGTTATGTTAATATACAGCCAATGTCCATCTGGTATAATGTAGCTTTCAAATGGTGTTACAAATTTCTAAAACGGTTTATTGGTTCAGGAGATTACCCTCCCCATATACACAAACTCACAAAATTGGCACTCTCTTTTTATTATATTAGTATAGATTTTTATAAAATCGCATACATATTAAAAGGCTTCGCAAACTATGTTAATACGACAAGATAATTATGTCGTGACCTTTCACGATTCAACACGAAACGGTCTGTAGATTAAGTATATTATATAAAAAATTACTGAATTCTCTCGACAAATATTTCACATAAACTAAAGTAAAAGAAAAGAAAATACCTTTATTCGAAATTGTTTTTGACATTCGGAAAAGATAATTATTTTCTTTCTATGGTAATTCAACTGTCATATGGAAATTTTGTCGGAAAGTTTATTTATTCATTTATTTTAAACATTTGTAATGATGATGATGAAATTTTATTATATTAAGCTTGATAACCGGACCCTGCCTTGATATTATTTCGCCATTGCCATTTTGTCTTTAAAATTTCATCATTATTTTGGTTTTCGACAAAAATAATTATACATTCATATATTAATACGTGAAGTGAAAACTGTACCCTTTTTTAAACATATTGCGCGCTTTGAGGAGTATGAAATTTGCCATAGTTATAAGTTTAAATGGAGAAATAGTGCAGAAAGTTAAAATTTATTTAAAATTGTTTTTACAACGTACGTTTGATTAAATTAAATAAAACATACATTGTTTTTGCACGTAAACACACCAATATCGCTTTTATTTTAAAGAATAAGGGTGACAACCGAGCACTGTGTTCACCTGATGGTAAAGTTTTGACGGCTCCGTGGCGCAGTGGCCTGGCAATGAGTAGCTGCGGGCTAGGTAGTCGCGAAAAAAGTATCTGTATGGCCTACAAATAATTGTTCCGGGTCTGGATGTTTGTTCTTGTGCAATTTATATTTGTAAACTGCCGCCACGATACAGGAGAAAATCCTAGTGTGAGGGTAACGTTTTGTGAATTCTGTGACCCATAGACATCTACATCTATCCTCAATTAAGAATCAAAATGTAGATGCTTTGTCACCTCCGAGAATTAAGATAGAATACTTCCTTTCCTATAAATGTGTCTCCATTTCTCTGCACTCACCATATGAAACACAGCACGATTTCAGACCGATATTCTGTCAGAGCGTGATTCTACTCCGGTCAAGCCGACCCATTTAAAAGCTACAACTATAATATAACTGCAGCATGGCAGCTTGGCAAATTATATCGTTAATTGATGTATAAACTACTGTCTCATAATAAGTACCAAAGAGTATATAATCATTATGTTTTAGGCAAAAAGCCAATAAAGCGTTTATTTTACACTTTGTATAAGCATTAGATATCTGTGTTTTATATACTAATGTGCAGTTGAAATTCAAATACAGCTTGCTTAATATACAAACTTAAATACTGGGTAATCACTAATATGTATTATTACATAATATGTGTTTTAATTACATGCAGATTCCCTTTATCTAATTAAGTTTAGAACTTCAGAGTTTTCAAAATAGTTGCAATCCAGGATTTTTTATTGATAATGGTTTCGAAAAAATAACTATTAATATAAAGTGAAAGCGGATTTCAATAAACGAAAAAGAACAATTTATTTAGGATTTAAGACGTATAGTGTATAGAACTAGAAAGTTTACGTTATCATTACCTAATGATGAATTTACATCTGTTTCCATTTCTGTAATATAACAGATTTGTTTTTTAATTAAAGAACTAGATTCAACAAGTGGTAAAATTAAAGATTTTGTATAACCAACTTCAATATAAATAAAATGAGAACATCATCAATGTTGTCAAAGTCAAATAAATACGTATTGTTAAAGATAACTCAAAAACTACTAGTCCGATCGTTATCAAATTCATATGAGACCACATGAGAAGCACCAGCTTTCAACTAAAAAAGAACTAAAGAATCATCAAAATCGATTCACCTGAGAATTATAGTCTGACATTAAAAAAAATAAGATCGAATTGAGTACTCCTTTTTTGAAGTCGGTTAAAAAAATTAAAGTCTCGAGTTCAGAATGTAAAATTATTATACTCTTTTTAGTTTTTGTTAAAACTATTTTTTTACCCTTTTAAGTTGACTGAAGACTGTCACAATCTCAACGTCATCTAAATAGATACATTAAAAACTAGTCTCTCGTTAAAGCTGGTTATCCCCTATTTTGCCACCCTTGGGGGTGGATTTTTTCTACAAATTTATATGGGACCACCTCTGAAGTATACCTTACTTAATAAAAAAAGAGAACCATCAAATTGCGTTCACAAAACAAAGATATCGCGTAACATATATAGAAAACAAATTATGCAGTCCATTACTAAATCTCCTTGTTAAAGTCGGCTAAAAGCAGAAGTAATTTTCTTATATTATTGAAAGCGAATTACGGTATTTTTCTATTATTAATTAAAAATGCGTTAGCTTTAGGCAAGATAGGTTCTATCGATAATATCTCTCTAATAAGAGCTAATACATGCTCTCCTCCAGGCCTCTAATAAAGGCTATATACATTTAAAAAAAACAGGTGATCAAATGTAGTTTCTGCTTCAGGTGGTGGGCGCAGGGCACTGTGTCAAGAGCCTCTTCTCCCAGCCGGTGGCCATCACACTACAAAGCGGGAAGTTCATCCTCAGGGAATATGGGAGATACGTCCTGGTAAATATTCATCCTTTACGACATGTCCTCTGTATATGGACCGTGACATAATGAATCGATTTGATTTTCGCCATTTTGGCGCTGACAGTAGAAGTGAACGTCCATGGAACTAATAATAGAGATAAGACAGTGCGACAAAATATATCGATAAAAGTTATATACCCAGGCCTACCCGTAATGTCCATTATATTTATGTAGGTATATTTTTTAAATAGAATAAGGGCGACAAACGAGCAGACAGTCCATCTGATGGTAAGTGGATGCTGTGGCCCATAGACATCTACATTTATCTTTGATTAAGAATCAAAACGCAAATACGTTGTCACCCCTGAGTACTAAGATGGAATGCCTCGTTTCCAGTAAAAAGGGGTCTCCGGATCTCCACTCTCACCATACGAAATACAGCAGTATTACGCTGGTATTCTGTGAGAGCGTGGTCCTTCCCCGGGCTAGCCGACCCATTCGTGCTACAACCATAATATAGCTGCAGCGTGGCTCTACCACGTAAAAAAACGCGTGGTAATGCATTATTTCAACTAATTTACCAATCATTCATCATCATTACAGCCCTTCACAAAACAACAAACTTTGGTATATTAATTATGTCAATTTTAGTTCCCGGTACGGAAAGTGGTGGCGCTTCAAATCATCACAGACATTTTGTATGGTATAGCCAGTCCAGCGTACTTGTATATAATATAGGTCAGTGGTCCCATGGGTGTCGTAAGAGGCGACTATCCCCAAAAATCTTATGGATTCCTATAAATGGCGGTATAAACATCTCGTTTCCGTCAGGCGTAATATACCCAGACTGGCGACGGAATGCAAGGTCGAAGGTGCGGGACATCTGGTACTTGTGATAGGTTAGGAAGACTCGCTTTGAGTCCTCAGTCAGTAAAAAAAAATCTTTTACTGACGCAAAACTAATTTAATTGGATTACACCACAGAAATCTACATAATAAGGCAATAGAAGTCGTAAAAGCGCGTAACCTTGTCGCCTCACATGTCACTCGTAGGTCACAAGCGGGCAAGGAGCGTTTGTTTCGGTCACCAGTGTTATTTCGGACGCAGAGACGTAAAAATGGAGTTTTGAAGCATATCCAACTGCGGAAATACTTCCACAACTTGCAAGTTCTCAAATAAAGGGATAACATTTCATAAATAAGTATTTAGTGTTTTAAACTGAGATTTTGTATTTTCATAAAATATTCCTTAACGCAATAATTTATAGTTTAATCTTTGTTGCATGAATGCTAGAGATATGTGTAGGCGAAATAGTGTATTTATTGTTTGTCTATGTGTGAAAGCTGCGAACCGGTGACACGCATACCGATATTAAAAGACAGTAGAAGGGATTTCTAGTACCTTATTATTTAGATTTCTGTGGATTACACATTGTGTAGCGGCCGTGTAAGAATATCCACTACCCTCATACCCCGTAGGTGTTGTAAAAGGCGATAATGTGAAACAAATGATGAGTTGGGCAGCAGCGTCTTCTTAATAACGACTAAAATAAAAACTGCGGTTGCCAACTCGCTTGCGAAGCGTGGGGACTGTGGAAAAATCCCTCCATGAGGATATCTATGAAGGAGGCCCATGTCATAGTAAAAACAGAATAGTAAGCTATCTTCTAAGAAATGTACCGAATGCCGCTAATATGTGTGCGTGCCTGGCACGTGACAGTACGGACTCGTACGCACGACGTATAGCACGCACACAACGACGCTTGCCTAGTCGGAAAGATCGGACCGAGTTGGGGACGCACACCGCTGTGCTCCGCAATCACCTTTGCACAATTGACTTTGTTGACTTTTAATAAAATTGTGCTAACAGTCTTTTATCGTTTTATTTTCTCTTTTTATAAAATAAATTAATATATGCGTTTGTTTAAGTAAATTACCTTCTTATTCATAGGTTATATTACTATATCTACACGTACATAGATATAGATACGTACCTCATAAGTACATTAATTATCATATCACATCAGATCTGGATAGAATTTTTTGTGACAAACATTGATTCTTTGAGAGGAAACTAAAGAAATGATTAACAAATATGATGCATAGGTACGTATCCGTATGTATTATGTTTGTAAATATTATAACTATGTACTTATAAAACTAAATGAGACTTAGCTGTTAAACAAAAAGACAGTGACAACCCTGCAACAGTAGGCATTGAAGTCTCGCGCGGCGTGGGAGTTATCCTATTATTCTGTTTTTACTATGCCCATGGTCAGCTGTGGACTGTAACACATCGAAATGTTATAAGATACTAGCTGACACCAGCTCGCTTCACTGGGCGCACGATATTATTTTATTGCAGAAGCTGTTATTTTTTTATGGGACTCTAGTGTAATCCGTTCTTAAAAAGCGTCTTACATTACGAAATGAGTAGCTATACTAAATTTCAAGTCAACCGGGTGTATAGTATGAGTCAGTCAGTCGATGGTATTTCGCTTATATATAGACGGTGTTCTATCATCAATCTATATATAATAAAATATAATCAATCTAGAAGCATCCTTACGTCAAAAATATCAAAAGCAATTCGCCATATTTCCCTAAGATTGTTTGTCTAAGATTTTTTAATCGATAAAGAAGTACAAAAGTGACCCACCTTTTCTATGTGGATGACCTCAAGTTATACGCCTCCAGTCGCTCCCATCTTGTGAAATTGCTAAACGTCACTTGTGAATTTAGCAATTCTATTGGAATGGAGCTGGGGACGGATAATTATGCGGTCCTCCATGTTGAAAGGTTGCTAACTCTGAGGGCATAGACTTATCTATGCCCATCAACTTAAGGACCCTTTCCGAGGCTGAAACATACCGATACCTGGGGATGTCACAGAATGTCGTTATCAATGTGGCTGGTATGAAACAGTCAGTTTGTGACGTGTTTTATGCACGCTTGACCAAAGTGCTTAACAGCCTTTTATCCGGTGTGAATAAGACACACGCATATAACGGTTGGGTCATGCCTGTTCTCATGTATACCTTTGGCATACTCAGGTAGACTCAGACCGAACTTAACACCCTGGATAGAAAAGTCCGCACTACCATGACGTCCCATAGGATGCATTATCCGAGATCGTCAGTAACAAGGCTGTACTTGCCGCGAAAGCATGTTAGGCGTGGCTTTCTGAGCGCGCTCACCATGCATAATCACGAAGTGTGCAGCCTCCGTCATTACTTCCTGTCGAGATGGAATGATCCATTCTATAATAACGTCAATTCTTGTGATAAAGGGCTTACCTCTCTATTCTTAGCCAACGAGCAATGGCAGGACCCAGCATAACATAGCATTTCCGACCGGAAGACCGTATGGAAGGAGGAGTTCCACGGGAGGTGGAACTCCTCCTTCAGGGCTCCTACAGGGCTCTACGTGAGCCCTTCGTAGATACAGTCGCCTCTCTCAACTGGCTACGTTTCGCTGACCTCTTCGGGGGTTTTCCCTTATTGCACATACAAAACCGAGGGTTTTGTATGTGCAATACGGGATCAGGTTATTAAGACCAACAACTGTCGGAGATACATCCTAAAGAATGGCACCGTCGACGTCTGTCGAGCTTGTCGCCATCCCGGTGAGTTACTTGGGCATGTCATCTCCGGTTGTTCGGCGCTTTCTAACTCTGAGTACTTGCACAGGCACAACGTAGTAGCCAGGATCCTACACCAGGAGCTCTTATATACTATAACTTATATAAAATTATTTATATAAAATAAGTAGGTAATAAAATATATTTAATAAATAATTCATGAATAAACTAAAATAAGAATAAAATTAATTATTCTTATTTTAGTTTATTCATGAATTATTAGAATTATTTTGTATGAAAGTTAAAACGTAGTTTTTATTATAATTTCCAAAATATTTAAAATCAGAGGTATTAAATTAACTTACTTTACTACATTAATTATATAGTCTCCCATTAATGTAGGATAATCACAAATGCGGAAAAGTGGCAACATTGAACCTTAATGGCAATATTCGATAATTTTATTTAATTATTTGAGGTTTTTTACGTTTATATGAAAACAAGAACAAAAAATTATGTGTTGAAAGTGATTCCGCTTGATTTATTACGTTTTTGTGACCTTGAATAGCATTCTTTCAGTACGTATTTACCTATTTTTGTCGCGGCTCAACTCTGTCGGCGTCACATTGAACACTGAACTGACATTAGCTAGGCATATGGCTGTGGCCATATGTGCAGTGGCAACGCTTTGGCGCGGTTATTACTGATCTAGTGTAATATATAAATCAATGCCTTATTATAAGTACTTGCCGGAAGCCGTGATCGAAAATGACCGCCGATCTACTGGGACCCGGCCATCATCACAGACACTACAACGATCGGAAGTAAAAATTAAATGTTTTTAATCAGACGCATAAAGGGTATGGATTATGTAGAACGGATTAAAAAGCTCAATGAGCTTATGAAACCAGCAAACGAGCGAAAGAAAGGCTCTCAAATGATAGCCGCAGAATAGCAACGCAGTGTAGGGCGACTGTTTCACACTGCCTCCCGTTTTTGTTGCGTGCCTGCCCGAAGTATCACGGAAGTCGGACGATATTCACAGTAGTGGGACGAGGAAATTCGTGCCGATAAGTGTGAACAGGGTAATACGAACACACGCTAGTGACGCCTGTCACGATTTTTGAATATGGTGGATTTCCGCATAGTAACCCCTGTTTCTGTTAATTATTTTAGATGCAATATATTATATAGTTACAAGCAACTGATACCCTCAACTCCTTACAGCTCGCAAGGCAAAGCTATGGACCTTTTTCATTAGTCTTTCCAGTAAAGAGGATAGCCTTAAACGTCACATTTGGCAGATTGACGAATGCAATGCCAGTATATTGTAATATTTTGTAGCATTATATTGATAATCGTAACTTATAATTATATTTAGATTTATGTTTTTGTAATCCTCAATAGTGCCTCCCGACGGATAGGTCTTAAGATGAACATGGACAAAACGAAGATCATGTGTAACGTCCATGTCACACCTATGATGCCGGTAGTCGTTAGGAGCACTAAGTTCGAAGTTGTTGACGAGTCCATCTTCGGCCGAGAGGTCAATGAACGGATTCAACTCGGCTGGGCAGCGTTCGGGAATTTACGACTCTCCTTCTCGTCAGGTATATCTCAAAAACTGAATACGAAACTGTACAACCAGTGCGTGTTGCCAGTGATGACTTAATGGAACTGAGACGTGGCTCTTCACTGTTGGCCGTATGAGGACGCTCAACGTCGCTCAGCGTGCTATGGAGCTATGCTCGGGGTTTCTCGGGATATCCGCAGTAGAACCAGAGTGACGGACATAGCCCAACGGATTAGTAAGCTGAAGTGGCTATGGGCCGGCCATATAGCTCGAAGAACCGTTGTGGCAATAGGCCGGCCATATAGCTCGAAGAACCGACAACCGATGAGGAAAAAAGGTTCTCGAGTGGCAGCCTCGTAGCGAAGTGTAGGGCGACTCCCTACTAGATGCAATGACGACCTGGTTAGACATGCAGGAATTCGATGGATGCAGGTGGCTCAAGACGGTACTTTGTGGCGTTCTTAGGAGGAGGCTTAATGACGATGATGATTATGAATCACTTGTAAAATTTTATTTTTTACTATGTTTTGATATTGCGCTAAAATATTTAAAATAATTTTAATGTATTTCTCCAGGCGATAGGCAGCGATCGAAATATTCCTGATTGGGTGTTAAAAAACCGAGCCAGCTTGTTGACATCAATGATCAAGGTTTACCATGGCGATCTGAACATGCTCGCTGCGCAGATGGAGGACCAGAAGAGGTTGGCGGAGAAGCTGTACCAAGTGTTCGAAACGTACCTCCCCGTACTACAATACGGTTGTCATATCTTCCAACGGGTTCCAATGCTGAGTCTGCCGAAAGTAAGTTTATCCGTAACACCTATTCTTATATCCGCGTTCCTTCTAGCAGACTTCTCTGTATGTTTTTGGGTATATGTATATCTTCGTCAAATATGTACATTTTTTGAAGATTCACTTTTTAATAAGTATGTTGTACGGAGCCGTGGTAACTGAGGGACTAAGCACTCGCTATAAATTTCACAGTACGCGAACAAACCAAGTTCGATCCCCGTCGGCACCAATGAAATTTTTGATTGCAATTTTAAGTGCTGATTTACCACATGCTCGGCGGTGAAGCAAAACATCGTGAGGAAACCTGCATGTCTGAGAAATAAGAATATAATATTTCGAAGACTTCTGAAGTTCGCCAACACGGATTAGGTCAGCGCGGCGAACATTTCCTTGGACAAAAACCCACAGTAATGAGTGGAGGCCTGTACCTAGCAGTGGGACGTAATATATAGGCTCTAAACTTTAATTTATTTTGTATTTCATAGGTGGTCTAAAATATGGTTTTTATTTATAGTATAAGCGTGGCAAACGAACAAACAGTTCACCTGATGGTAAGTGGTTGCTGTGGCCCATAGACATCTTCATCTATCCTCGATTACGAATCAAAATGCAGATGCATTGTCATCCGTGAGGACTAAGGTGGAATGCCTCGTTTCCAGTAAAAAGGGTCTCCGGTTATCTACACTCATCATATGAAACACAGCAGCATTAAGCTACTATTTGACGCTGGTATTCTGTGAGAGCGTGGCCCTTCGCCGGTCGAGCCGACCCATTCGTGCTACAACTATACCAGTGATATAGCTGCAGCACGGCGCAGCAAAATACCCCTAGATATATACATTTTATAATGTTTCAGGTAGGGATGTAATGATACATAATTTGTGCCGATACGATACCGATACCGTATATCAATAACAAGTGTACATAACATTCACAGATTGAGTATGCAATTTTAGGGTTAATTTGGTGTAAAAATAACATCTAATCAATACAATGCAATTAGAAACTATTCAAGTAAATTATGTGTACTGTACTTAAATAAGAAGCTAAGAAAGAAAAAAAAGATTTAATTATTGAGAGGGAACATGGGAGATATTAGGTACACTCTCTTTAGGAGTATGGACATTTTTAATTAAAGCATACGATAAGTTCTATTCAAAATATAATTTATATCAGGAACTCGGTGATAAATTATTTGTAAGTTTTCTTTTGAAAGCAATATAAGAGTCTTGAAATATGTCAATGCCAGGTATGATTTTAGAAAATTCGTTATATTTGCCACATAAACGCACGATAGGAGCATAGAGATTTATAACATCATAAGGATCATCTAATTTATGTAGTAAATTTATTTATGTACCATATACTTAATAATCAATATTTATTTCAATAAAAACATAACTATCAAACAATTCTCGTGGATAGTAAACCGAAAAATAAAAACATAAGTCAATATTTTTTCCAGATTACATCCTTAAGAGGTAGTTGGGTCTATACTGAAATAATATTGGCTCTGATGAAAATTCAGCTTACAAAATAGGTCATTTAATATTGTGATTATCACACTTAAAACGATAATGTTGGATGTGTTTGTTTACATTTCGTTCTTATCGCACAAACGGCTACTCAACACTCATAAAACGGCTTAACACGAGCATAGTTTCAGTTTCCATGTACCTACCTACGTCAAGATTACAATATAAAATTTCCATTGCCCAGTTAATGTCTTTTCAATGTAATCGATGGCAAATTTGTTATCAATTAAATAAATTGTAATCATTATCAATAATGATGATGACCCGCATGTCGTCCCTTTAGTGTCGTAACAAAAATTTAAAAAAATATCGGAAACTAATACATCCCCGTTGAAAATATATGGGGTTGTTATTAACGCCGCGCTGGTATTGAGAGAAAATCCCGGGTTTCAACTCAAACTTCACACAATCCAAATTTGTGTAACATAATATGATATAGACTCAGAGGCCTTAGCGGCCTAAGGCCTGTATTTAAAGACATTCTGAGTTTAAACTCAAATTTTTGATGTATTATTATGTTAAGCAGTCGGTCGCAGACTGCCTCGTTCTAATCATTGGCCGGCATCCGCTGGGTTGGACCAAAATCAGTTATTGGATTTTTCATTTTTTTAAGGGTGACAAACGAGCATACAGTCCACCTGCTGGTAAAAGGATGCTGTGTCCCATAGACATCTATATTTATACTCGATTAAGAATCGATAAGATGTGTTGTCACCCCTGAGGACTAAGGTGGAATGCCTCGTTTCCAATATAAAAGAGTCTCCGGATCACTACACGCACCATACGTAACACAAAAGTATGAAGCTGCTATTTTACGCTGGTATTTTGTGAGAGCGTGGTCCTTCCCCGGTCGAGCCGACCTATACGTGCTACAACCATAATATAGCTGCAGCGTGGCTCTACCACGTATAAAAAATATTCTATCAAGAAACTGTCAGTTGCAGCCCGAAGTCAGAACGTTGGAGGTGTTTCACTCCCGGGCCTTGGAAAGTACATAAAGCCGTTCGTTGGTCATGCGCCTGATCTCTCAATCTGATTGTGTTGGATTACCGTCCCATCAGGCTATGAGAGTGAAGGAGTAGAGAGTTCACCTGTGCTTATGCATATACACGCGCAGTCGGCTAGTCTGCGATATTGTGAAGAAGTCCGGATCGAGAACTGAAAGCATACTGAAAAAAAATTTAAAATGATCCCTTTTACTAACAAGACATTCCGTCTTATCATTCTCATCTTTAATCATTAAACAAGCATTGTGTTCCACAGCATCCACATGAGACGTTGATTATGTGCTTGTGAATTCAAAGGCCAAGGGACTATCCGGACTTGAATCGTTTTGAACTCAAAACTGTCATGCGATAGCCTTGAGACTTAGTCTTATTTCAGAGCGCCACCTCAGTATACATGGAGTCAATGCAAATCCTGGAGCACTGTCGGAAAAGCAAGGGCGTACTGGGAGGAGTTATTCTTTACAACAATAAGTAAGTATCACAGACGCTTTCGTGTTACCATTTCAACCGTCCTATTGAATAGTTGACCATTATAAAATAGCAACATAATATTGCTGTGTTTAGTTGTATGTGACTAGAACTGTAGAACTGTATTCATTGGTTTGGCCTTTCCCTGTTGTCTTATTGAGGTAGTCCATTACCTCTATTAGAGGCAACAGGGAAAGTCAAACTCAACAACTAAAACTCGATTTTGATGACTTTTTCGATAAATCGGTAGTCTCTATATAAAATATATAAAAATCGATTGCTATCCGTTAGCCTCGCTAAAACTCGATACAAGCTTAACCGATTCTTATGATTTTTTTTGTGTTTGAATGGGTTCCTTGATAGTTTGGATTAACAATTGGACCCGATAGTTGGTACTGTTGTCGAGATCAAGAAATTGGCTGTGCGAAGCTGGGGCAGATCGCTAGTACTTAATAAAAATGCGGTTGGCAACCTGCCTGTCAGCGTGGCAACTATGGCAATATCCCCCGTATGAGGCATTCTATAAGAAAGAATTATGGTCAGCAGTGGACATTAGTTACCCTCTCAGTCGCCCTCTAGTATCAAGTAGCAGAACTAGGAGTCAAGATCCTTCTAGAGATTTCCATGCCAGAAGTTTCTACACCTAGTTAGTCGGGACCGGTATATACTCGAACATTCCAGAATTTTCAGTATAAGAGGCCCCTATATAAGGCCGGTATCGACCGTGACCCGAGTAAGTATTGAATTGGCGATACAAGCGAATACTTTGAAGCGTATGTTTGATAGGCTGTAATGACTATGATGATAGATCTCGTTACATTCCATATTCTGAATATTTCTGGGTGTATAGTGTGGTGAGTTTTCGTAAAAAAACTGGAACTATTGGAAGGTCGCTACAAAATAAAATTGAATCTTCTAGATTTTCACGCTTAAGGTAATGTCCCAAATATATTCAATTAATTCCATTGTGTTTCAAAATAATCTAAAATATTGATCAAGAACCTATCAGTTGTACTCCCGTCATTAGCTTAATTATTCAAGCTTTGCAGGATTATCTCCACTCAATTGCCACCAAGTCTTACCTCTTACCTGACCGTGGTAGATCCCTATCGAATAAAATCACCAGCGGAGACGTTGCAAACTGAAACACCGTTGCCTTTCGGAGCACAGCTTCTGGTAGTTTATGTGGGGCGGAAGACTTACGACACGCTGAAGAAGCAAGCGGATAAAATGCAGGAGTTTTATCAAAACGGTGAAGAAATAATCGCGCGTTTTAAAAAGGTACGATTCAGAATTAATCTTGTTTTTTAGGAATTCCCCTGGAAATACCGTCCCGGGAAATTTTCGGACATGGTAGAGCCATGCTACAGTTATATTAGTAGTATAGTTGTAGCACGAATGGGTCGGCTCGACCGGGGAAGGACCACGCTCTCACAGAATACCAGCGTCAAATAGTAGCTTAATGCTGCTGTGTTTCATATGATGAGTGTAGATAACCGGAGACCCTTTTTTACTGGAAACGAGGCATTCCACCTAAGTCCTCACGGATGACAACGCATCTGCATTTTGATTCGTAATCGAGGATAGATGTAGATGTCTATGTGCCACAACAACCACTTACCATCGGGTGGAGTGTGTGCTCGTTTGTCATCCTATCCTATAAAAAAAATGTTTAACATTCTAAAGAGTTTTTATTTCGTTAGGTTATTTATTTCAGGATTCCTAAGATTTACTTGTATCAATACAGGTGTGCCATAAATAAACTGTCAAACCCGCAAAATCGTAGCCATATTATTTTTAATCGCGCAACTAAACATTGTTGCTGGGTGATAAGAAGTTTTTTACGCAGGAAATATTTACATTCGCAAATTTTAAAATCAAACATAATATGGTTTTATGAGAAAAATGGAATTAATTTTCGTCCGAAAAAAAATCCAATAATCGCACAGCGTGTGACAATAGCTTATCAACTATCTCAGAAAAACATCAATCTTAAAGTTTTGACATTAATGATGGAAAGCGGCTTAAGGGTATGTGAACTGAAATTGCCAATGCTTTTCGTTAATATGTTACAGCCTATTAAAGTCCGCTGAACATATACCTCTCCCACAGATTTGCCTCAGTTCCATTAATATTTTCTATATGTAAATCTAGAAAAAGTTTGCATACATTAAAACTTCGTTTATGTCACAGCACTAAAGTGGATAAGATTTAATTTATAAACAGAACGAATGAAAGTGGAGCTAAAACTTTTCCTTGTGGCAGTATAGACATAATAGGCATAACATATATTTTTCTAATTCTCAGAATGCAGAAGTGGAACGCGAAAAGCAACCACCAACTGGTATGAAAAGGGACAAATCATTGCTGTTCACAGCTGTGCCGGAAGAGGACCACACCATGATATCACCGCCAAGCAAAGATCACCATACGGAGAATAGAAAACCCAGTATGCCCGACGTCGTCCCATTCACGAACAAACCCCGTCTCAGACCAAACAAACTCTCACTTAGCAGCTTCAAAACGCAAAAATCCTTAGACGAAGTAGTGACGGAAAACGAAACAAAATTCACGGGCCAAACTAGTGTTTGTTCAACCCCAATGATCGAATACAAAAGACTACACGGCAACATGCTGTCGATTTGCCAAAATCCGGATAACCAAACACAGGAAAAATCGCCGGATTTAGAACCGGACGTCCTAAAGAACATAGAAAACTGTGCCAAAATGAAGATAGAAAGTGAGAAACGAGATAACAAAATGGTTTTAGATATCAATTGTATAGCTGATCATTTTATAAATAAACCTGAACCAATACGGAAACTAGCGAGTGTTATGGATATTCAAGAGACTTTCCGGAAGCTATCGAATAGAGCAACATCCAAGTTTAAGTTAAAGCGATCGCAAAATGAAGATGATTCTCCATTGGAAGAAACTAGGAGTCCAAGTACTCTCACAATTAATGACCCATTATTCCCTGTGTTTAGGAACGATGGTGTTGCCATATCAGAGTCCCTCTTTAATCAGTACCTGGAGCAGTATTATTCTAGAATGAAACAAGAGTCAAAAGAAGAGAACATGTTCAATTTCAACTCAAAACTTGGAGAGCCTGAGAAGTTTGAAGATTTCGACTCAGAAATGACAAAGTCACCTCAAAGGACTCCAAAGAAGATAGTGAAAGATTCTACAAAAACACTGCCAAGTGATCAGTCCAGGCGTAAAGCGTTATCATTACCTCTTAAATCGTTGACGGAGAGTTCCGAAGCCCAAATCGATGCGGAGGCAGTTGGTTTTAAAAAGAAATTATCAGGAGTACAACTAACACCACTAATGGAGAAGTTGAGTCATTTAGCATTCACATCAGATAAGTCCAGTGGATACAGTAGCAGGGTGATGACTCCGTTAGAGATTAGAGAGTTTCTGACACCAGCTGCCGAACGTCAAGTTTCCTTCTCTGACAGGTAAGAATGTATAATATAAAAAATATTACTTTTTATACTTCTATATTTATTTTATAATTACAAAAAAATAAACGTATTGGTTTACTTAACTTACTTAACAAACTAAACTATGGTAAACTTTTTTCACGTGGTATAGCCACACTGTAGCTATATTATCGTTGCGGCACTGATCTCTACGCTGGACTGGTTATTTACACCGTGACAAATGAGTCGATTTTATTTTCGCCATTTTGGCTCTGATAGCAGAAGTGAGGGTCCGTAGAACTAATAATAGGGATAGGACACTGTGACCAAATATATCGATAAAAATTCTATACCCTGGCCTACAATTCCATTTTATGTATCATTTTTATATAAAGCCATACAATAAATTAATATATCAATTAATACTTATGTCTTAGACACAAGCTTTATACCTCAGATAAAACAAAAATAAACGCTGCGTTAGGTCTATCTAGGTTTTTCTTCGTAACTATAGAATGGGTTTTATTCTTGGTTTCACCATTGGGTATAAATGGTTCATTCGAGAGAAGGTTTAATGAATAGGAAAAGCTGGAGGAGGTAACTATAAAAAATATAATTTTTTAAAGAATTGTTAACGTTTAATCCTCATAATAGAGAAAATCAATAAGCTGCCAAAATATTATGCCTATTTCAACGATATCTAAGTATATGTACAATTCGAATTTTAAAAAGTTTAATTACTTTTAAAATATACCATACCACAAATCATTAACATCATAATCAATTTGCTTCCAACGCCTCACAAGTTTAGGGATAATTTTAGTATAGTCAGTTGAAAACTTGTAAATAAATAAATATTTGATAATTACGTAGAAAAAAATACATCGATTATCGACAAGGGACTTGTCAACCCCATTGAATTGTTTATCAAAAATTGGTAATTTAAAGCCAAACGTATTAGTAATTACATTTAATAATATAAATGCCAGATTTTTTAAGAGATTATATTATCAAATAGTTTTAATTATTTAATATAAACTGTAAATCCCTTCACTTATGAAATGTTACCACACTTCTCTTCTGGTAACGTATTTTACATTATCATTGTTACTAAAAATATTTTTTATTATATTATTAACATGATGTATGTGACCACTGAGAGACCATGTCGGGAATTCACGAAATGAATTGCTATGGATTTAGTAGTAAGTCTAAAACAATTGTAGAACAAATCCTAGAATTTGTGAAACAATATATAAAAAAATACAGCCATTAAAGTGTGGTCTGTCGGTTCACACAGTCTATCAGTCAGTCTCTCAAATCTCGGAAAGTAACTGGAAAATGGGAATAATATGATGATGGATATGTAGAAAAGAATTTGCAAAGATTATTTTATTAAGTAACAAGACATAAAGTGTTAAAAATAAAAGAAACAAATATATAAACACATAATTTTTTTTATAATTCGTAAAAGGAGAATGACCATAGATGTATGGAATCTCGTACCAAGTTGCATCAAAATCAAACTTTGTTTTTTATTGACTACACTAATCCTATTAACTCCTACAAAAGTCCTTTTTGAAAAAAAAAATCCTGGTTTTGGAGTTATTTTACAAAATCGAAAATAACCTAAAAACCATTACGTCACTTTTTCGACGCTACCAACGACCTATTTTAAATTGACACTTTAAACATGGACAAACATTATTGCTCTAAAAACCAATAATATTAATAATCCATTAATATTTGTAAGAATTACATTTATTATGGATTACTTTGTGTTAATTGTGACTGAAACTCGGATATTTGCCCGACCTTTATACATATTGCCAATACTGTGAGTGGGTAACGTATCAAAAAGGTAATATGTATATAATTGGACGCCACCGCGATTACACTATCACACCAATATCAATAATACATTATCATAAGTGTGACCATCCAGACCGAAAAAAGCTCATTGAGTCTAGAGCGTCTTTAACCCTTTAATCTAAGATATGATACTATTCATGACAGACACTATTGCTCAAGCTCATGTTGTTGTGAATCGATTAGGTAAGTGATAGAAAAAATAAAACAAACAAGTCCATTTGGGTTTTTTAATAGCGATTTAAAGTCAAAAATATTTATTTAAAATATATTTACTTTAATCATTCATCATACTCCTGAAAAAAATCATCTAAAGCCGTTCCCGGCGCAGTTACGTCATTATACCGTCCCCAGCTCAAATACCACACTATCGTCATTATATGAGCACAGCAGCCTACTGTTCGCTTACCGACAAGGCAGCTGCAGCAATAACCTACTATGGTTTCTAAAGTGTTGGCCACAGCATCATCTCTGCTAATCAATAAATATGTGTGATAAGTACGACTGTTGACATGTCTAGATTTAATCCTACCTCTTAAGAGGTAATTATTAAGCCCCAAAATCAAAGGTACATCATCATCGATAGTATTATTCACCTCAACTGAATAAATACCATTCCGACGGATGTGTTCCCCATAATAAGATCTAACCTGTTTGAGTTGGTAAGTCCCAAGAGCTAACCATTTTAAATCAGTTATTGTCAATTGTGGAAATCCATCTAAATGTGGATTATTGCTGTCAATCAACTGAAAATTCACACTTCTTCTATTGAGATTTGCCTGTTCAACATAAGTTGCCAAATGGTTCTCTAATGAAAGCCTATCCTTAGCAATTCTTACATATTCCATGGCTTCTGGTGGGTCTTCTATAACAACATGAAACTTATTAATTAGGGCACATGAGATTCTAAAATCATCCTTTAGGTGCAAAACCGCTCTATTGTTAAAACCATGACGAAAGAGTCTAAAATCCCTTTTCAACCTACCATTAACCACTTCTACAACACAGCGGCACATAGTAACAAAACGAGACTGATTTGCCTGCTGGGTTGTTAATTGATGTTCATTCTCAAGTAGAGACTCTGGCATATGTGTTACAAAGCCATATCCCTGGATTTCATTAATTACATCCCTAAATCCTCTATCAAGTATGAAAATGTCACCTCTTCGGAAAAATCATCTTAAAGAAGCTTTGTAAAAAAGCTTTTGAAAAATTGTAGCATCATTAGTTGTCGCCTTGTATGGTCCGAGACAATCCACAATATGACCATCACAACACACTATCATAAATGGTTTGACCAAATTATCCAGTTTTTGCAAACTGTATGTTTGTTTTTGAAATAAGTAATTAGAACTACTTTGGATAAATACATAAGTAGCATCACACATGACTATTGCTGGTTTAGAATTAGGTGGCAAATCAGGATTACCAAATAATCCTTCTGGTATTATTCTATTTCTAGAAGCAACATCTTCAACATTCATATGATTAAATCCTAAATACAATGGAACAAACTCATTAATTAAACATGTTCTGGCCTTATTCATTAAGCGTTCTAAGGTGACACGAGATTTATTAAATAGAGTTGCCAACCTTTCATTACTATCACCAGTTCTAAGCTTTACTAAGTAAATGCTTAAAGCAACCGTGGCATTTGGTACTTGTCCTGCTAGACTTGGGATACAGTTTTACAAATCATAAAACTGATCGGAGTTCATGCCTAACCAAAAGTGACACAAATATGTAGGCATAATTAAAATATTTGAGAAATCTATATGGTAATAGGCAGCTCGCTGCATGCAAAAAAACTTTTTTACACCTAATTATTCATGCAAGAATATTTGCATTTAACTCATGCTAATGTCTAAAGTTGCCTGAATTTCGCGGTATGTCACATGTAGATCTTCCTCAATCAGCTTCCGCATAGCATCAACGTTTTCTTGGGTGACTGCAGTTTTTGGACGACCTTGACGGGGATCATCACTGAGCTTGACACGTCAGTTGACTACCAGTTTTTTGGATGGGGCTTCATTACCAAATGCAGAAATCATCCGGTCAACACACTGTTTTTGTGTTAAACCACTTCGAAAGTCATAATAAATCATCGCTCTTGAATTTTCTCGAGTTAATTCCATTTTCTCAACGACAAAACCTTGTGACAAGACCGAGAATCTTTTTTTAAATAAATGGTGTTCGATTTTTAAAACCAAGGAGTTTTCAATTAAAAAGATTTTAATATGACAGGAACAGTGGAAATATTCCATTCCCGATACTTTTAGTGCAGCCTAGGTATGTGTATGAATTAAAAAGCAAATTAACATTAATTTAAACTTATTATTTATAAATTATAAATCATAAGAATTATTACAATTTTCATTATTACGTTAATAGTAAGTAAGTAGTCAATAACTACGTAGGTAGTTGTACAAAACATAACCACTTCTTGGCACTCGGGATAAAAGGTGATCTTTTTGTTTATTTATTTTTTTCTTTTAATGCTAAGTATTCTTTAGCAGTCAATCTTGAAGCATGCATAAAACTTCTCATAATACAGTGTAAATCTTTATAAGACTTTGATGTCGATGAATCCGATTCCATACCAGTGATAATATACAAAACGTAACGAACAAAACAAACCTAATTAAAATGAAAACAACAACTAACCGAAAATTTTAAATCTCAAACTATCTACATCCAAAACAGAATGCGGAATGAGTCCTGCTCAGCCCGCTCTCGCAGATACACACGACTCGAGACCGCGAATCGTGGCGAAACAGGTTTGTTATATCTCAAAGACCGCTTACTTAACCCTACCCCGTACCATGAGACACCTTAGCGCATAACGATATGTAATCTATAAAGAAATGTATGGAAGCAATACCTGTCGTTTTGTTTCGATGCTAACATAATACTTGAGGTCAATGTACGTTTTTTCGCTTGCCCTGGAAACATTCTATACTTATTACGAATAGTATAACATAATTTTATTTTTCGTTTCTTAGTGTATTGTCATCATTAACATTACAGCTCTTCTTAAGTATACTGCTGAACATAATCCACCCCCAAGGAATGCCACAAACAAAGTACGTTCCTGAGCCACCTGCATCCATCAACTTCCTACATGTCACCAGTTCATCACTCTTAGAGTACAGATTTACATGATTCTATAGCTGCCGTGTGGTGACAGCGTAAGGCGTTGGCCACACTATAGCGACTGCGGGGAGAGGAGGTGAAGACGCTGCGACTTGTCGCTGTAATATACAATGTTGATGTGGTGCATGACACGTGGTTTCTTCTTGCTATTTCTGGTTGTCGAGTTAAAAAATGATGTTTTCTAAATTGGTACTTCCGTGTATAGAAGGGAGATTTTTTTGTTTGCACAAGATATAATGCAAATTAAAATAGGAGTTCATGATTTAAACTAATGCAGGCATCATTTTGGTGAATATCGGTAGACTGTATGATAAAATACGTCAATACCCACAAATGTTTTGAGAAATATAATATTATGCTTATGATTTTCATGCTTACCAGACCATATTGCAGACCGAGAAATTATTTCGCTAATAAATGTCTCCGTATTTATGTTTTTCATCGCGGAAATATCAACATTATTTAATTTACACGCTGGACGCGCGAACACGTACTATTTCCTCCGCTCGCGGTCGCCTGACGCGCACGCCAGTCGCGCCAACGTGGCACCTCCCGTTCGTCTCGTATTGTTATTTTCCCCGCTCATCGCAGACGCAAGACGCGTCGCGCTAGCGTGGCACACGAATAAGAGTAACCATCATCTCGTTTCGGTAAAATCAAAGATCAGATATCTCATTTTACAGGAATAAGACCCACCGAGAAGACAGTGATAGTGATTCAGAAACTGAAAGTAACTTGGACCTTCTGCCTGAGTACAGTCAGCATGCAGTAAAATGCGCACTCTTCGTAAGCGGATTGCAAAATATGGCGCTGCTGGCGCTACTCGAGGTGGATGCTGCTGACAATGTCGACACCATTAATAACCTGGTATGTATTTATTTTAAATTTAATAAAATTATTATCTCTTCAATCCCCATAAAAATCACATGCAGTCGCATGCGTCCGTCAAATCTCGAGCGGTCGCATGCGACCGCATCCACCCACAGCACTTTAAACCATTAATACTTACATTTATTGAATACTTTTTTATAAAAAAGTTTGGCATTATAAAATCTATACAAAATTCTCTATCCTGTGGTCTAACTCTTTCACGCATATGGGACACATTTGTCCCCACTTAATTTTTACGATTTACAGTAATACTGGTCGAGTTAAACCTTTTTTAAATTTGTATTATTAAATTTTATAGCACCTTTTCGCGATTGCGCGCTGGCAACACTAAGTAAGGACATCATCTGTCAAAAAAGTTAATGCCGCGAAAAGTGACATATTTGTCAGAAGGACGTGAACATTAAAAAATATTTTTTTATTAAATATCTACTTTTTACCACAGTTTCTTCTCAGAATTATATTCACTGGTAAGTATAATTACTGTTTTGGTACATATTTTTTTTGGTTTTCTTTGTAAAAATAAGGCGTACTATGTAAAAAATGTAAAGGGACGCGGGTGTCCCTATATGCATCAAGGGAGGCTGGCTTCAAGCGGGTAATATTTTTTGCTATACTGTTTTGTTTTCGTTTATTATTCTTATTTTGTATATTCTATTTGGTTACAGACCATGTCTTCCAATCGACGTAGAGAGTTTTCATTGCGGCAAGACGAAATTATAGAATTCTTGATGGCTGACTACAGCGATGATGAGGAGGGTTTAGTCCTTGATGAAGAGGATCAAACTTTTTTAGAGCAAGATATAGACACGGGTATTTCAACTGTTGAAATTGAACCGGGGTCAGCATCTCCAGAAGAGAATGTTATTGAAAATCAACAGCCTAGTTCTAATGTCCCTTATTTCAACTGGCGAAAAAATTCATATTCTCCGCATAATTTTTGTGAAATGGAAGGGTATAACTTCGGCGAGGTGCACATTTTTGATCAAACTTCTGATACGGAACTGACTCCTGTAAAAATTTTCAATGCGGCTACAGGCTTCGAAGAATTAGTAGAGAAGATTATTGTTCGTGAATCCATACGCTACGCTCATCAAAATGGAAGATCTTTTACGTTGACTGATGAAGAAGCCAAAGCTTTCTTCGGCATGAACTTTGTGATGGGGTATCATTGTTTACCTACATTCAGGAGCTATTGGTCTACAGATCCTGACATGGGAGTTCCTTACATTGCTAATGTGATGCCTATAAACCGCTTTGAAGAAATACGTACGAACTTGCATTTTAGTGACAATTCTAATGAACCTAATAGAACCGATCCGTCTTATGATAGAGCATTCCAAATACGACCTGTTATAGATCATTTCAACCATGCTTTTCAAAGAGTGATGACACATGATCAAGTTCAAGGGGCATAACATAATGAGGCAATACGTAAAAAATAAACCAATAAAATGGGGGTTCAAGATGTGGTGTAGGGCATGCTCTTCCACTGGCTATTTATTTCAGTTTGATTTGTATACTGGGAAGAAAAGAGGTGGCACTGAAACGGGATTGGGTGAATCGGTTGTCTTGCAATTGTCTGAAAGCTTACAGGGCATAGGGTGTGAAATATACTTTATATATCTTCAGTATACACTGATGAATAAGAATATAAAAGCGTGTGGATCAGTGCGCTCAAACAGGAAAAATGTACCGAAAAATATGCCAACAGATAAAAATATGAATCGTGGAGATATTTTTGCAGCCAGCAGCAATGGAATATCTTTCATAAAATGGATGGATAACAAAGCCGTGTTTCTGCTAACAAATTTTTTATCACCCATACCTACGATGATAGTCAAGAAGCGTGTTTCTGGTAGTGCTGAAAAGGTGAATGTAATTTGCCCTGAAGCTATAATAAAATATAATAAACATATGGGAGGGGTCGATCTGATGGACCAGAAAAAAGTATACTATGAAGTGGATCGAAAAGCAAAAATAAAATACTACCTAAGGTCGTTTTTTGACTTACTAGATATTGCGATGAGTAATTCATATGTGATTTATTGCAAGCTGCATGAAGCAAAACGTATTGAAGGAACTCTGCTTACAAGCCTAGAATTTCGCCAAGTAGTAGCTCGGTCACTTATTGGTAGCTTTTCGTCTCGACAAAGATCTTTGTCGTCAGTTGTTATAACGAAAAAGCGAATTTCTTATACACAGAAGCGCGGTACACCTTCACACGTAATGGTAAAAGTAAGTAACAGAAAAAGATGCGTACAGTGTACTAAAAGCCGTATAGAGAATCGCACAAATAACACTTGCTCTACATGCAACGTTCATTTATGTTTTACTACAGACCGCAACTGCTTTGTAGAGTACCACTAAGTTTTATTTTTGTTTTATAAATAATTTCTACAATAAATAATTTGTACTTTATATCATAGTTTGTGTTTATTTCACAATAAAATCATTCTAGTATTTTTTGTCCGTACATAAGAAAAATGTACCTTAAGGCATATTGGGACACTTATGTCCCCTTCTCAAAAACATGGAAATATACATAAATATGGTTTTATTTATACGTTTTTAATTAAATTAGACCAAAATAAATAGACATAAATAAAAAAAAATCATTTTAACTATCTTAGAATAGTTATAAGCTTGTAAGGGCTAAACAATAGTCAGGTTTTACTTCAACAAAAAACGTGTACATACCAAGAGAATGTCGGTAGCGTGAAAATCACTATTATATTACTGGATATTATTTACTTAAAAAGATAAATTATATTCACCCAAAAACTTTTATAACAATTTTATAATAAAACACTATAGTAAAACATCAATAAAACACTAGAAAAATCCAAAAATCAACACACAAACATCCAAATAAAAATGGTGTACGTAATGAACGTAGATTATAAATAAATATCCATAGACTAACTGACTTCATTGCACTAGAGGATAGAAAATTTCATATTGATTATATAGTGCCAAACTCCTTCACAGAAAAGTAGTCTCTAAACATAAGTATTTATTGGTTAAAGTACTGTGGGTGGGTGTAGTTAGATCCGACCACTTGGGATTTGACGGAATAGCGCCGTGGTCGGATCCGACCATTTGGAGTTTGAGAGGTTAACTTCTGAGATGTGGGTTTTTCTAGTCATTCATTGAAGAAGCTTAGGCGGCAATCTGTATGTTTTCATTCAGAGTACTTTTTTTACTGTTCTATGCCAGAGCTGTGGTGATGTAACTGAAGATGGTGAATATCACTGAATTAACAAAAGCATTTTCACTCTTGTGTTGATGGCACCCATCACAGACAGTAATCAGATGAAAGACAGGTGCTTTCAGATTCTTTGACTTCTGATTTCACGTGCTTGTTGCAACTAAACTAACAAAAAATATTCATCGTTTAAAGTAGCACTCAAAAATGCGACATGTAGCATGTACTACCTACTATAGTCAGTTTGCAACATCTTATTTACCGCAACTCCGTGTATAATACGCGTATTTTGTGTAGACAGTATCTGAAAGAAAATTACAATTCAATCTATCTTAAAAAATCAGGGTAGCAATTTTTCCACTAATCTAATTACTCTTTTAATAGTGGGAAACATCTCTGAACGCTCTGGGTCCAATCGAGCAGAAGTGTATGGAGCCACTTCCAGCTGAAGCTGAAACTACTGACTACAGTTATTTGATGCTTGACCCTGATTGGGGCTCAGTGCGCAAAGGAGGTCCTTGGGCCGCTATGGATATTGCAACGATGGGTCAAATTCATAACGAGTTTGCGGAAGATCCAGAATTATCTGAATTCATATTAAGGTACAATTTTAAATTTACTTAGCAATTCTTTATGGCTATATACTTGTTCATTCTATAAAATGTAGGTACCTGCACTTAAAAATTAGTTTTTTCTTTTATCACATTTTTATCTTTGGAGAAGGCTATGCTTAGTTAATCTGCATAATGAAATCCATAATTAGGATATTTGCAGAACAAGAATAACAAGGCTCATGAATCAATAGGCTATAGTGTCACTTAAAAGAATCGACCACCGACGCGAGAGAAAGGTTATGGAATTAACAGCCTCGTACTGCAGACGGCATGTGGTGCGCACCCTGTACCTGGTAGAGCCACGCTGTAGCCGTTTTATGGCTGCATCATAAATAGGTTGACTCGACCGGGGTCGGACACCGCTCTCATAGAATACAAAAGTTAAACAGCACAATAATGCTGTGTTTCGTATGGTGAGTATAAAGAATTGGAGACCATTTTTACTGCTAAGTGAGGTATATTAAATCTTTGTCCTCAGAAGTGAAAACGCATCTGCATTTTTGTTCTTAATCAATGATAGACGAAGATGTCTACGCTACAGCATCTAATTGCTCTCTGTGATTGTTGCTCTGTGAACTGTGTACTTGATTGTTACTCTTATTCTCCGAAAAAGTAAAAAACCCCTGGTACATTAGAGTAAAGACTTCGTAAAACATGCAAGAAGTCAGTAGTTACAGGTGGACAGGGTGCGTATTTTCGAGTTCAATAGGTAGCAATACTTGCCTTGAAATGTGCACGGGTTGATAATGTTTAACTATCTTTATAAATTTGTGTCCAATTCGTGACTCGGGGTTTCAACGCAAATTATACTTCTAAACACGTTTTCAAGACGATGCATGGAACTATATAACACAGGAGAGATCGCTTATTCTCTTATCTATGCATTGTATATATATATATAGCCATGAATTTCGCGCGTTACTTAATAAGAGTTGAATTACTGGAACAAAAAAGTTAAAAGTGTTAGTAATTTTGAATGGTTCTTCTAGTTTTTAAAATGACTAATATATGTAAAAATATGTGTACGATATAATGGTAAAAAATATCATTCTATTACAGCCTATCAAAAGTTTACTGCCTCACATAGCTTCTGAATTTTGCCTTGTTTCGTACGATTTTTTTTTTGTGATTTTTATTGTAGACACTGGGACTGCTGTAAGGTGTGATGTTAATTCAGTATACTATAAAGCCGTTCCTTTTTAGTTTGCAATTAAATTCGAGGGATAATATCGACGGTTATGTTGGATTGACGTTCCATCGTGCTATAAACGTACGTACGCGTCCATTTGTCCGCGCCGGACGCACCGTACGCACGGTAAGCAACGGCTTGAACGGATTTGCCGATGGCATGCGTCCACTGTATCCGGATTTTTAATTTAGTTTCGAGTGTTTTCTTGTCGTGAGTTGACGTATTTGGTCATGGTGATTAATGAAGATATTTTTATTATTATTAGCTATTTGTTGGAAGATGAAGAACGTAAAAATAAACGTAGAATGTGGGTTCAGAATGAAATTATATAATATTATTATTTAATATATATTTTATGATATATAAGTTTATTTATTTATATTATTTTTCAATTTATCTTAGTATTAATATTTTCGGAGATAAATGTCGTCAAAATTTGTGATCCTCACAATACCTCTGCCCATTTGATAAGAAGGCACCATGCGAGGGTACCAGGAAATGATGCAGATACTGCAGTACAAGGCAAAACCCACAGAGATCATGTGTAAAATATTATGTCAAAATAATGTGCAAAATATCTCAAGTTCTACTCTGTACAGCACCTTGTTTCGATAATTATCCCCAATAATATAAAAATAAACATATTTCTAGGTTCAAGCGTTGTTTTATTATATCAGTGAATAAGTTACTATTTATTTTAAAAACTTTATTGCGTCCCCTTAGAAAAAAAACGATACAAAGGGGGGACATAATGCCTAAAGGCATTCTCTACCAGCCAACTCATGGAGTGGTGAGAGTTTGTCGTAGGTATAGCAATTAAAAAAAAAAGAAAAAAAAGATAAACTAAAATTAATACACATGTAACAAAAGTGATTATGATACATTTACATATATTAACACGTATTCATAATATAAATAGATTTATATGCTAATAAACATATGTAAACATACATACAACATGTATATGGATATAAATATACATAAATACAAAGTTAATACATACATATAAATACGACTATTTAGCAATATTGTAATTCTAATGATTCTTCAGTAAATGCTCGCGTACTATCTTTTTAAAGGAGTATTTGTTAGACGCTTTTCTGATTCATCGGGCAAGGAATTCCAGAGAAGTGCAGCCTGAACAGTGAATGAGTTACCATAAAACCTGGTGAGATGAGTAGGAATGTAAATTCTGTTATTATAGGAAGATCGAAGAACCCTATCATGACAAGAAGAGAGATATTGAAATCGTTCTTTGAGGTAAGAAGGCGAATATGGATCATTTAGAATTGAAAAAAGAACAAGTAATATTCTGGAGTTACGCCTTTGCCTTATGGTAAGCCACTTAAGCTGAGATCTGTAATGAGAAGTATATACATACACACATATATTATATACTTACGCAGACCAAAAATAAATCTAATACAATTATTAAGCTGGTGCTCCAGCTTGTTAAGTTCTTGGGACAAGTCGGGGTAGCACACATCTGCATAATCAAAGATAGGTAAAGTAAGAGTTTGGACAAGCATGAGCTTAGATTTAATAGGAATGAAGTATTTGAGATGATAAAGGGAACGTAAGGTGGCAATGAGTTTCCTACGTAAATCGATAACCTGCACGGTCCAGTTCACAGAGCTATCATTAACCTGTATATTTATACAAGGTGTTTAACGGACTCACTAAATGGAATAATAATATTATCGTAGCAAATAGGAGCTAAGTCTGCTTGATTAACCCTAGCCAGCAACCTCTTACTTCCCACTAAAATCACTTGGCATTTTACTGAATTCACATAGACTCCGTAGTGCGAGGACCAATCTTTATCTGTGTTTAAATTCTGGTTTAATTTGTGTATTCCATTATGTAGGTCTTCAACACCACAATGTACATATATCTGCAGATTATCAGCGTACGGATGGTACGAGCAATCAAGATTATGAGTGATCAAGTTATTAAAAACTGAGATGATGGGTGAGAGTATACCGCAGTGCGGTACGCCACATTCAACTTCAGCCCAAGCTGAGGTCATTTGAGCCACGTGAACTGACTGCTGACGCCCGCGAAGATAGGATGCAAACCAATCTAAGACAGTGGGTTTAAAATTAAGATATGGGATAGGGTGGAAAGATGGATTTCATGATCAATTGTGTTAAAAGCATGAAAAGCATTAGAAAAGTCAACTAGTACTAGCACTACTATCTTTTTCATCTGTACCTTTTCTAATGCATTCAGTAACTTTTATTAAAGCAATAGTAGTGCTGTGACCTGGACGAAACCCGGACTAAAATGGACTTAGTTGGTTATGTTTCAAGATAAACGTAGTGATTTGCTTATGAACATAGGCTTATAAAACTTTAGAAGAACGGCAGAGTTGATATTAGGCGTAAATAGCTGGGAAGGATAGGAGCAGGTATCCTTAGAAAGGGGCTTAACACAAGCATTCCAATGACTATGATATTGCCCCGAGTCAAGGGAAAAATTTATAATGTGAGCTTATTACCGGGAGAAGAGGATCTAAGATAGTGACGACCATTTGTCTGCTTATGTCATCCTGATCGACAGGAGAAAACATTAATGCTGGAATATGAGATTGCATTGACGCAATAACATTTAAAGTGTGAGTACGGACTAAAGGATCCATTGCTTTGAAGGAAGCGAAACTTTGATTTATCTCATCGACAGATATAGAAGGACCACAGTCCAGCGTGGATGGCTTACCACCCACAGTTCTGAGGAACTTCCACACTTCGGTAGGAGATGAATTGTTTATGCAGTTATGGAAATATCGGTGTTTAGCAGCACGTACCATCCGATTACACCTATTCCTTGCTAATTTAAAGAATGACCAATTTTCTTCAGATCGATCCCTCTTGAATTTACGAAAGGCTCGATTACGACTAAGCATTGCCATCCTTACGCCATCTGTCATCCAGGGGGCGGGGGGACACCTTAACGTTAGGGACAGGAGCATGCGCATAAGAACGTTATCGTACATATAATCGTACGTTAAGAAAAGAGAGTTTACCGTCAATTGTAGGTTCTGCTATCAAACAAGTTAAATTGAGATCTTGAGCGTCACTCATTAAACTTATCATAGTTAATTTTAAAGAAATTGCGTACAAGCTGTAAGGGACAAGAGCGCTTTGGTGGTTTGAGCTTATAGGAAACTTATAAAAGGTGTAAAAAAAATGATGTATTCTAACCCTTAATAGCTGTGTAGTTGACTTTCTGGACTCTGGTAACATACGGACCACATTATTTTTATGCAATGGGTAGTGGTCATTTAGAGACTACAGGGTTTTTTCAGCAATAGGCAAACATAATAAAAACATGGTATTGTTATTTCCATATCCTTATATTCTACCAAACTCAACACTTAAAAGAAAAAAAACTCGCTAGGCCTGGCTAAAGGTTAATCAAAACATAAAATGTGCGGCAGTAAGCGATGCCAACGGCGAACTGATTGGTGTGACGTCACCGGCACGTAACGCATTTTTTGCTCATAAATGCCGGCGTTCCGTGCGGGCGGCGCGGAAAGTGGACGCAGCGCCATGTGAAAGCCGCTAATAACTAAAGGTACGCATCCGGGGCGGGCCAGTGGACGCGTACCTTTAGTTATTAGCGTCCCGAGCGCGTATGACGTCGTCGTGACAAAGTGTAGGCTCGGACTTTGCCCTGCGACTGAATAAATTGAGTGATGATCAGATAAACCAGTTGTTGAACCTGTTTGGCCTGTCTTCTTTACAGTCTATAAAACGTCCACTGCTGAATATAGAGCTCTCCTATAAATAATATTTTTCAGCTTGGCGAATCGGCAACCGTAGTTTTTCTATATTTTCAGTTTTTATTTTTTGGAATAATGGTGACAAACGAGCTCACAGTCCACCTGGTGGTAAGTGGATGCTGTGGCACATAGACATCTACATTTAGCCTTGGTTTAATAATCAAAACGCAGATGCGTTGTCTCCCTGAGGACTAAAATGAAATGCATCCTTTCCAGTAAAAAAGGGTCTTCGGATCTTTACACTCACCATACGAAACAGTATTAAGTCGCTATTTTACGCCGATATTCTGTGAGAGCGTGGTCCTTCCCCGGTTGAGCCGACCCATTCGTTCTACAACCGTAATATAGCTGCAGCATGGCTCTACAACGTGTACATACAGTTCTTATCAAGCAGATGCTGCTGCTTATCACATCTTTTAGTTTTCCTCTGTCGCCACTTATGACACCTACAGGACGATATAGAGTAGCGGATTTTCTCACCACCGCCACTACACGTTAGTGGCCACAGTATCCAGTTAGCATCAAGAGGATGGTGTGTCTGTGTGTAACCTTATTGTATGTGGCGTGTGGTGTGCAGGAGCGAGGAGAGCGTGGTGGTGGGCTGGTCATGCGGCGGCGCGCAGCTGTACTACCAGGAGGCGGGCGCGCGCGGAGCCGGCCCGCCGCCGCCGTCCGACGCGCTCGCCGCCGCGCCGCGCGCGCGCGTCGCCGCCTGCGCGCCGACCGCGCCGCCGCACTACTCTAGGCGTCCCACACACACACACACACACACACACACACACACACACACACACACACACACACACACACACACACGTAGCCCTCCGTCGCTTACTCCACGACTGTACACACACACACACACGTAAACACAGACACATAGTCTATTGTCGCCCACACCGCGACCGCTGTGCTGCTGCTCTAAAACTGACACATACACACACACACCATTCCTAGATCTGCATCGCAACCAATGTGCGCTTCTGTTGCTGCTCTTAAACTTATACCCGTATACACACGTAGACCACTCGTAATATACACTTCTACTCTCAATTTAAAAAAAAACACATCTACATTTTTACCGTTACCTTTACAAAATAAAATTACCTCGTCTCATTTACCATAATTGTCACTCTTTGTTGGTTGACAACCGCAACGTAACAATACGGAGTAGTCAATATTATTACACCTTCGCATAGAATACTAGAAACTTTTTTTAGTTATTAAAAAAAACTAATACCACTAAACTACTGACAACAAAGGCCTAAGAAGCGACAAAGACTTACAAGTAGAGTTACAATATAACCGTTTTTAAAAATGTAATAGTTTTGAAATTGGTAAACTTAAATGATACAAAAGTTTAAAAATTAAAACCACACGCATTGATGGAGCTGTAATATTCATAATAATTCGGACGTCCCAATCATGTTTTTAAATCAGTTTTACCGCGCGATCCGAAACCGAATCGAAATTTATTGAACATTGAAGTACGAAATACACGTCAATCGTGTATAACTAGTTTAATTTAACAAAAATGAATTCGGACGCTTATAAACTTAAAGATACAGTTGTATTTTATATTCGTTTAGACATTCACGCAATACTTGTAAGGCACTTTTTAGTGTAAGCTCTGTATATAATTTATAATAATCGTACAGCATGATAATAATAAAGGCCGGAATTGATTGCACTTAATGAATTCAATCGTGTAAATATAGTGAGTCGAAACTCGGGGCGGCCGGACTTAGATAAACTGAAATACCTACCTACTAAGCATCAACAGACATGAACGAGTTCAAGTAAACAATTCACCGGAAATACTCGTTTATAAGTTATATAACAAATCAATGGATACGACGATAAGAATATTTCGTACTGAATAAATACCTTACTCAGTATGAAATATTCTTATCGTCGTACACCCATTTTCAAACAGTTTTAATGAATCCTGGAGTGATATTAAACCACTATAATTTTTATATTTTTTTTTAAACCGAATAGTGCCATAAAATTACCATTAATTTATTGTTTTAATTTTTACGCAAAAACGCTACCCGCCATGATGAGCTGAAACTCGTGACGTCCTACTAAATAAAACTATTTTACAAATAATGAGTAATCATCTTTATCATTGGTGTGTTGTCTGAATGCAAAAAATAAAGTTACAGCCTATATACGTGGGGTGTGTGTGCTGGGCACAGGTCTCCCTCTTATTTCTGAGAGGGTTTTAGGGCAAGGAAATGTCCGCCACGCTGCCCCAATGCGTGTGGGCGAACTTTTTTTCAGGGGCACACGAGCATTCGGCTCATCTGATGTTAAGTGACTACCGCCGCCCATAATCAACCGCAACACCAGGGGAATTGCAGGTGCGCGTTGCCGGCCCTTTAGAAAGGAGTAAGCTCTTTTCTTGAAGGTCCCCAGGTCGTAAGGTACGCGGAAGAAAACTTTTGAAACGTACAGTGGTGGACCGCCAAGCATCCAGATGTTGTGGATGGTATCGGGACGTTTGTCGAAATTTGGCGGCTGGGATTAATCCGAACAATTCCTCACAGCACTCCCATGGTATATGCGAAAGAAAATGCAAAGAGATGCAACATCTCTTCGCAGTGCCAGTGAATCGAGCCGATCGAAAAGCACTCGGTCGTCGACGAGAGCCGCTCTGCGCTGGATGCGGTCAAGTGGAAGGAGCTGGTACTGGGAAGCCCCAGCCCAGAGATGGGATCAGTATTCAATGTGCGGCCGAACCTGCGCCTTGTAAAGTTGTAGGCGGTGTGCCGGCATGAAATACTGTCCCGCTCTGCTGAGCACGCCAAGCTTTTTAGAGGCCAATTTGGCCTTCTCTTCCAAGTGACCACGAAACTGCACGTCACTCGATATGTCGACGCCGAGGATTCCGATACTGGCTGAGGCTACAAGGGGAGTGCCTTGAAACTGAGGAGATACGACAAAGGGGTTCTTTTTAGCGGTTAACGCGCAAACTTGTGTCTTCTGGGAGTTAAACTGGACTAGATTTAGTCGCCCCCAATCCGAGACTCTGTTCAGCAAAGACTGATCAGACACAAGTTTGTCCCGGCACTCGGAGACGTTTTCCCGAGAAATATTGGCTCGGTCGGTGTAAAGAGTGCTGTCATCTGCATGGCAATGAATGTTACGGGTTTGCAACATATCATTGATATGCAGAAGAAACTTCACAGGTCTTCGAAAAAAAATTCTTATTTTTCAGACATGTCGGTTTCCTCACGATGTTTTCCTTCACCTCCGAGCACGTGGTAAACCAGCGCTTAAAATTTCAATTAACAATTTCATTGGTGTCGGCGGGGACTGAACCCAGGTGCTCACGTACTGTGAAATTTACAGCGATTGCTAACTATCTGAGCTACCACGGCTCCACTGAATGCAAAAATATGAGCATAAGAACGCCGAGGAAGTTATAGTTTCTAGTGTCAACTAATTTAAATATGAGAAATACTTGTTTAAAACTAGCAATAAGAGAGCCAAAGACATTTTCAGAAAAACTAGACTATACTTCTGTAAAGATCACTTTGATGTAAGTACTCGAACTATCGTTTATTTAAAACTTCATGACGTGATAATAAGTCAAATTTTGTAAAGATTATCTTAAATATAATTAATGATTGCTAATAATTGTAATATATGTGTAATATATGTATACACTATTATTGATAATAGGTTGAGGAATGTTAAAACAGTGATATATTTAACATTCCTGAACTCAGTAAAACAAAAATTTTGCCACCATCAATGTATTTTATCCTTGGCGGATTAGTACTTTCTGCTTTTACGAATCCGTCTTCCATGATGTCATTTCAATAAAATACAGAATAAAAGTCAATAATTGGGAAAATAAAAGTGACGTTATGACAGAATATAATATGGCGGATAGCGTTTTGGAGATTTGAGACACATAAAAAATTATTAAAATTTATAATTTTTGAATATAAATCAATATTACCCGTTTACTTTTTACAAAACCGATAATAAATATGTACCTTTATATTGCAATCAAACTAACAATAGGTACTCTACACTGATCGAATTTTACTGCATGTAAGGAAATTTCCTTACTATAAAATAATCTTAACTATTTAAAAATCACGGGGTCTTATGAAAATTTACATAGTGTAGTTGTCAGTATACATAATTTAATACTTACTGCGTGCAAAATAAGCCGAATCACAACGTACACTTTATCCTATGTCACGCTACAGTTTGAAACCAACATGGTTTAAGGTGCATAAGTGCATGTGTCTTCTTGCAATAAGTTGGGCATGAATTCGCCCCTCACTTGAAACATTTCAAGTGAGGGGCGAAGTCACGTAAGCATTTCACGCTACTCGTCGCTGAAGTTATTGTTTCTCACATCCGTATTCTTTTCGGTAGTTAACACAGATAATTTTTAAACAGTCGGTATTTTTATAATTTGATAATTTTATTATACAGTTGACTACATATTGACACGCACATGCGCGGTTTTTATTTTAATTATTAATTATACTTTACTTTTAAGAACACTAGGCTATTTTGAAATTGACTTTTCGGAATATTTTATGCAGTTTTTAATTGAATCAATAATTGAATGAGCCTTGACCGTTATAGCCGTATCTTTAACTTCATAATCTATACTTCCATTTTACGAGCTGTCAAGACTAGTAGAAACAATATTGAAATACCAGTAAATGACTAGCTTACATGTAGTCAAAAAAAAGATTTCTTTATTTAAAAAAAATTAATTCAACTTATAACGAAAAACTATTGATGATGGCGTCAACTAGGTACGCAATTCCATATAATATACCATATTCCAAACCTGCCCCTCCAAGGTAATGTTCCCTTAATGATTATAGTTCAAAAAAAGCAAATTCTTGGTATGTGCGATATTCAAAGATGCATTACTTTTACTTTGAATATTCTTTAGTGATAGATCACCTGTTGATGTAGATATCTCCTAAGGTTTAAGGTTTTATAATTAAAAAGTAGTTCTATTTAGCATTCAGACATCTATCAAATTATTACTAATTATCCTTCAGAGATGTTATAGTCAACCAAATCTAAGAAATACCTTTTGACGTTGCGCATTAATCATTCAGCAATAACTTTGCACAAGCTAAACTTTTCTAGGTACACCAAGTTTGATTATTTTATTTAAAAGCTGGTGCTTCTCTTGTGGTCCCATAAAAATTTGATTTAGATCTGACCAGTAGTTTGAAAATACATCACACAGTTGTAGAGCGATTCTCACCCAACACATCACAAATACAGAAACAAGTTATCTACATTTTTGTTAATTACGAGTTTTAAGCATTAAATTGGCATTTTTCTTATTTTATTTTTAATATTGTCCATATTTTTACTAAATCTTATAAACCATATGTAGTGCTAACTGATTAAAAAACTGTTAGGCTATGGTTGATCACCATTGTATTTATACCTTTTGTGGTATAATTAAAAGCTTTTGGGGTAAAATTAGAACCCTTTAAATATTACAAGTTGCGGTGTTTTGCCAATAAGGTAAAAAAATTAGTGCAGCTGAAAGCGATTAATTTTATTTTTAACTTTTAACCCTTTAACTGGTAGAGGAAACTAGCCATGCAATTGTAATGAAACTCGGATATATTATGTAATTATGTATTGTAAAAAAGAAGTTATTTTTTTTTATAAAAAAAACTATGTTGGCTATATAATTGCCACTACTGGTCAGCACACATGTGAAATTGTTTGAAACATGGAACAGCACAAAGAGGCACTTCACATTTGCCACATTGTATGTTGGATCTTTTGTTCTTAGTTGCGCTGCTGCATACTCTGCAGCGCCTGTATGTTTCTCTGCCTTCTGGTAAGTGCTCACCAACATTGGCGAAACGAATATCTTCAGGTACACCAAAAAGTTTCTTCTGTCGAGTGAGTACCTCTGCACTAGCCTTCCTTTTCTTTGCTAAGAATTTAGGAGCTGTTGAAAATTTTCGTTTCTGAAATGTCAAATTGTTTACTAGTTCTCTGGCAAGAGTAAGCCTGAACATCTTTTGGCTCATGGGATTGTGTACTCTTGAATTCTTTGAGTACAATATATGCGCATTTGTGATCGCTACGTCGAACAAGAAAAAAAAACAACCGCTTCCACCATTTCTTGCTTCGACGAGCGACATCATAAGTGGCTTTTTGCTGATCAAATTTATCAACCCCGCCCATTCGCTTCGAGTACTCTACAACTGAGCGTGGACAGGGAAAAGGTCTTTTGCTTCCATCCTTTTGTGTACGTTGACATGTAGCCTCTTCTTTCGGGTGAAAGACTGTACTCATAATGGTCACTAATTTTGTGTCCTTCCAGATCGAAAACCCTACGTTGTTCCGAACTCGCCACTTGTACTGCCCTTTTTGTAGTTGTTTCAGTTTTTTATTTTGCCTCTTCATGATTTCGTCGCAATTTCTTAGACCAGTAGGTTTCTTTACTAAAACAGGCATTCCCAATCTGTCATTTCTCGCTGTTGCTGTACTGTATATGCCATGGTCGTATAAATACTGAAGAAGGTCATAACTACTAAAAAAGTTGTCAAAGCTAATATGAGCTGAGCAACCTTCATCGATAAGTGGTTGAGCTAGAGTTTTTACCACACTACTTCCTAGACCAGTTTCCACATTGTCTCCTTTACCAGTATAGACTTGGAAGTGAAACAAATACCCAGTCTTGCTATCTGCTCTAGCCCAAATTTTGTAACCGCGCTTGACAGGTTTGAGGAGCATATACTGTTTTAGCGCACTGTGTCCCTTGAACTTTACCATTGATTCGTCAATGGACTGAGATCTTGTATTTCGGCCATTATTTTGACACCTCTGGTTTATTTGATCTAGTAGTGGGCGAATTTTATAAAGTTTGTCGAAACCTGTTTCACCTCTTCTGGGCATCTGTTTATTGTCATTTACATGTAGACATCTAGAAATCTTTTGAAATCTTTGGAGTGTCATGGTTTCAGCAATCTCAGGGACACAATGCTGGATTGCTAGACCAGTAATCTTCAATTGACGGTAGTTAGTGTATCCCCATTTTTATTAGCATTCCAAGATATGCTTTGAGTTCGTCTTTAGTAATTTGAGTAAAATTTCTAACATTTGATTGACGAGCAAACAAGTTCGATTGAAAAAGTAGGTTTTCAATCACATCATTATCAAAAAATACTTCGAAGTAAGTGATTGGTCTAGATCTACTCGGAAAATGGTTCTGCGATTGAAGTTCGTCTTCATCGAAGGAAGGCACGTTCGGATCATTTGTCCAATCAACTTTCTTCCATTCCATTTCATCTTCATCGGAATCTGATTCTTCTGAAACCAAGGCGGTGGGTGCAGTCACCTCTGCATCTCGCGTATTGATTGATGTAGAATCAAAGGGTCGTGCAGTGGTGGCGCTAGATGTTGAAGCACGCAGTACTCTAACATTTCTTGCTCCCCCCCACTTCATTATCACTTTCACAATCTTGTTGTCCCTTCACTTGTCTCATTCAGAGTATTCTCTCTTCTGTTGTTGCTTTCTGTACCTATGTCGTCTTCAATCTCATGGTCTTCATCTTCTTCCCATTCATCCGTTGCCTGTTCTGGCCCATGTTTTCCGTGTCTTCTACTACTTCTAGCTGTCAACAAAGACTCTGCAAAGTCTGGTTCAATGCAAGGTTGAAAAGAGGAATCGTTGTTAGGCGAAAGCAATTGTTCAATGTCATGAGTATCGGAATCTTCCAAACTGTCTTCTGAATCTGTACCATCTGAAAGGCCAAACATGGCTTCCAACTGCAACTCAATTTCGCGATCGTTTATCGACCGACGACGGTGCTCCATATTTTATTCTGTAAATAAAAATAAATCTCACTGGTACTGGCATATATATTGCCATCAACAGGTAATGTACTAATTGGTAGTGGCAAATATACTGCCGACGTGATATTTCCCGATTTCTATAATAATATTGCATATTGATCTAAAATAATTATCCAAGATTGACATAAAAACACAAATCTAACGATTATTAAAAAAAAACTTACCAAAATAACAGGTTTTTTTTTTTCAGAGATTAAGCCGGATTACTCTCGATCGAAAAAGCCACAAATTCTATACTTGACATTTATTTGACAAATGTCAAATGTATGTTACCAATTTTTTTTCCATCGTACTAGTTTGTTGTCTATTGCCCGAAATGATAAAACGTTTCGTTAATACAAATTTTCTTTTAGTAGAGCCACGAAAATATGTCGGCAAATATAATGCCTCTACTAGACAAAGGGTTAAGAGAGCTCTCTAGAAATTCTGTCGTAGGAACTAGTTTCATGGCGTCTGTAGTTACTCACTGAGAAGGCCTGAATATCTGTATCGCTTCGCGACAGTATCTTACTCTACTACATATACTGGGTTATTTTTGAAAGAGTAGCCAAATTTTAAACTTAAGTTCAAATATAAATGATATACCGTTATTGCAGTTTTTGAAAATACGAGTAAATAAGGCTTCAACTTTAATTTAAAATTATCCCAAATTGAATGTGATTTTTAGGCAACTTTTTCCGCCTACTGTACGAACGCAGTAAAAAATAAATAGATAAAAGTTTTACCTAGAGTTTAATTAATTTTTTCTTCATTTGCCTATATTACTATCTAACCTTCTCTGCATTAAAGTTTACAGGTTTATCATACATTCCCATATGCAATATATGGATATGATTGTCATGTTTCAGTTGTTCGTTTTGTCAGTATTTCACATGGATTATTCTTGATTTGTGACGTCTCTAATTATGCCTACTTCCGTAAGGCTCTTCTCATTCTATGCTAGTGATTACTGCAAGTGTCAAGTGTAAAAGTTTAAACTAGAATTGTAATGTAATACCGTGAAAAGGAAAAGAATGAAAGAGACTGCACGAAATGGAGTTTGTAAAATTATTAATAATCATTTTTTACGCTCTGTTCTCTTGCCATTAGCTCGTAAGTACCTTTGCCACACTGTAGGTGATATCGCTAGTCTGCTCAATCTTGCCATCCGACTATTTAGTGTTAAAACAAAGTTATACATTTATTTTAAACCAAAGCGTGTAGTAAAACGTAGGATACAACTGCCCTCCAATTCGTCACGTCAACTTTTAATTGCAAAAATGATATTGATAGATATTTATTTATATGATATATATTTGAATAATTCTCAAAAATGTATAATTTTGCCTTTAAGTTGTAAGTGAAATCGTTCACAAAATTACTTACCCATTAGATCAGAAGCTGCACTGCTGAAGTCACGTTAAAGTAATTACGGATCAAAACTTCCTATCCATTTCAATAATTCAATTGGCAGTTTTTATTGCGCAGTAAACAGATTTTAACCTGCTAAACGTAAATTTATCAAGTTGTAACTTTCATGATTTCTGCCGTGATCTCTTCATATTGTCGTTTGAGGTTGAAGCAAATTAGGGAAAAATTTGTCTTTACAATTGAATTCGTTAATTTTTTTTTGAATGATTTACATACTAATTTATAAAATCTAGTATTTAATTATTTACTAATAAATACCTTCATTGATATGAAAACTTAGTGTGAAGTTCTTCATGTTTTGTAAAAAAAAACAAATGATATTCGGAGTAGTAATTTTTCAATGTGATTTTAAAATACACAATTTATGTACAGTATTCTGGCTTGTACAAATTGTTACGGTTCTTTGTTTTTTGTTGTTGAACTGAGTTGTGCAATAATTTGTTTTAATTTAAAAGCCTCAGGTGTTTTAAAATTTACATCAAGACTTCAGTATTATGTTGCGTTTCCATAATATACTGAAAAACTCTGTGATTATCATTCCGATCTTTGTGTTTTTTGCCAATGTATGTACAAAGCTGTTAATGATTGCGAACGCGTCCAAAGTAAATCGATATGCAAATTATATGAATTTATATTTTTTTTGTATTGCTCTATATTATATTACTTTGTTATATTTATTGTTTGATTAAGATTCTTACAATAGCTCGTACAGAGAGGAAAGAGTGCCAATAGGACATGTAATGTGGTATTATCTATTTATATTAATTATACATAAATATTGTTAAGAATTTTAATAAAAACCCAATAGTGAACTGTGTTATTTTTTACACCTGATTAATTACTTATGAAATATATAATTACATACATAAAAGAACTCATTCCGTCTTATTACAAAAAGTGAACTATTTCACGAAAGGAGTCTCGTGAGAAAGATGAGAACTTAAAACCAAGAGTATGAATGTTGACAGCAATTGTAAACTTACGCGAAAACTTGCATCGCGGCTTAGGGACTTCTCTAATTAGAAATACTTTTTGATAAAGTATAGTCATAAAGACTATCAATAAACCCTGTTTTGTAATAAGTCGGACTAAGTTTGGTCGAAAATAAAAACAGTATGTAACAATCTAATACAACGACCAAATGTAATTGAATTGACCTAAAATACTGTATCAATATATAAATATTGCCAAAACAATACGAAAACATCGTTATAATCTACTCAAAAACAAGTAATATGTATATTTAGCCCATACAAGGAAACACCTAGTAAAACTACAATGAGAAATGCATTTATAAACGGATTCTTGAAATAAATGGTCACTTATGCTACCAACCAAATGAACTATAAAATGTTTTGTAGAAAATTCTACTGTACATAAAACTGATTTCATATCCCTGTGACCTTAAGTGCTTTGCGGCATCCATGGCTACAGAGTGACAGATTTGGATGAAGTATATGTTTTGTACAAACGTGTATTTAGGTAAAATAATTAAAATCTAGCTCTGGTTTAAGCAGCTCCCGCCAAAACTATGGATGCTGCAATGTACTCATAATAGGATATTTAAAATTTATTGAAAATGCGATAAAACTCTAAACTCTCTTTTAGTCAAAGGGATTCCCTAAAAGATAGTCCTTACTTTAGTACCACAAAGTCTATGAGATAGGACAGTGGATAAGGTGGGAATGCAAATAAGTGAATATAGAGAGATCGAAACGATGTTACAAAACTATCATTTATTCAACAAGTCGCTCACAACAAGTCTACACTAAAATATTTACGATGTCACCAAATCTATATATCATATATATAGAAATCAGAAATACATACTATATTATAGATAAAATGCATATGGATCACCGATCGAGAGATTGTAATTAAAAGGGCGGGACGTTCGAACGCGTGAATTTTAAGGTCGCAATTAAAGAATATTATCAGATTACACGCGACTTCTCTCTTGAGTCTTGAGCGAGCTTGTGGCTTCGTTCCCTACTACGGTAGACTCGATCATATTATTTTCGCAAAGACATTGCCGAGACAAGTTTGCAATACTTCGCTTCGGCACCGACTGTTCTCGGCGCCCATCGGCCGTCCCGGGAATTTCGGCTAACGCCATTTCAAAACTGACTTTCTCAAGAAACATTTTCGAAAACTTCAACACAGTTAGTTTTTCAAGGAACTTCATCCTTTACTTCTTGTTTCAATACCTTTTCAAACAAACAAAATCGATATTAGACTTAGTATTAGAACTTTATTAGGAGCTATCTTTACATTCTAGAGGCAACTGCGCCTGTAGGAGGCGGTTACATGCTAACTTATAATCTAAACCCTTTTGTATCACGTCTAATGTTAAAAAAAAACAAAATCTATAGTGACTTCCAATTGCCGTGTAAGGCAATATATCGTTAATTGAGCCTTAAAATTATTACAAAATTATTTAATCTTTTCTAAATCTAAGTCCGGCCCCAAACAGGTACGGGGATAAATGCATTATGGATGCCGGTCGGACATTTTGGGGTGTGTCGTATCAAAATCTATGTAGTTGACCTCAGCGTCACGAACTTACTAATATCGACCTGGAAAGTCAAAGATGGGAGTAACCATTGTGTCACAAATGACAGATGGCACTATTAGAGCATTCTATCAATGTATCAAATCAAGTCAGTTAATACATATTTATCATAAAATTAATGTTTACAAACACTTTTGATTATAGATAAATTGATAGAACTTTTGAAAAAAATGCACATAATGAAAAGATAAAATTGATTGTCTTAATATATAAAAACACACATACAAATCAAACAAAATATGTATGATACAGATTTGTTTAACAGAAAAATCATTACTGTTACAAGGGACCTTTCCATCACAACATCTTTGGCATGCATTAAAAACAGCATGACCACTTTAAAAGATACTAAATGTAATATACAAATTAAAATTATAAAATTTTGAACAATTGCGTATAATATACACATTTTCATGTTAGATTTTGATAAAATTCTCTAAGTGACATACACGTGTGTATGTCATTTAGGTTGGCTTACATTTAATTTCAAAAAATGTGGTCATTTTGTCATGAAGGTACAATATAAATTAGCTCAATTTTAAATTCAATTTAAAAAATAATTCTTAAACAAGTTACGCTCTCAACTAAGCTTTACAATCAGAAAAAAATCGGTGTACTTACTAATAAAATAATGACAGCTGTTATAGACATACAATTACTTTATACCTGAAACTGGGAGTCATGGTGGCTAATCACAAGGTAATATATCTAGCGATTACCAAATATGTTGCTTGAGTCTCCATTGTTTATAATTTATTCATAGCAATCTGTTAAGAATTTGCACACATGCACTTACGAAGATACATATAAAATCTTTAGAGATATATTGATGAAGCCAAAAGATGCTACAAAATCAGTTACACTTGTATAATTTTACAAATATTATTATTTTTATAAGAAATTAACATCAAATGGATGATTTATTACATAAAGGGAATAATAACACGAAAAAAGATCATAACGATGATAAGATTGCAATAATTATGTTCGGGCACGGTAATTTTATCTATACAGCATTCCAACTTCATCATACAAACGAACGAAGCGAGAGCTATGCTTCTACGCGCCTCGATCTCGGCATGCAGACAGTCGTGACTGTGCCGCAGTGATGATTTTGTGGAATATATAAAAAAATGGAGGAAATAAATAATAGAAATAAAGAAATAATAAATCCAAACTTCATTTAAAACTAAACATATAAATTGTAAAGTAGCTGCAGGTATCTATAACCAAGTAAAAGATATTCCTTTTCTCCACCTTGTCCATGATTCCCAAAACAATTTTTAATTAGGCTTTATATTAGAATGCGGATTTTTTATACTTAAAATTTTAATAATAAAGCATTTCGTACGTCTCAGCCGAGGCGTAAGTATTTTTCGGTCGCAAATTTATAAGACCGATTTGTTATTCAAACATAAACATGGTTTTTTAATTAAATCTACCAATCAAAAAACGACACGCATTTTTATTGAACACTTCCTATTCAATTCACAAAGTACCTATTATATCTTAATATATATAACTTACGTGTCACGTTGTTTGTCCGCAATGGACTCCTAAACTTCTTAACCGATTTTAATCAAATTTGCACACCCTGTGCAGTTTGGTCCAACTTGAAAGATAGGATAGTTTTTTTTGCCCATGAGTGACCACAAATTTTTTTGCGAATTTAAGGATTTTTAATACGACATGACAGAGTCGTCGAAAAAGGCAGAACAACGTCTGCCTGGCAAACCAGTTTGTTTATATAAAAAAACTATACAATTAACAATCATAAAACTAAATGGAAACACAAAGTAGGCAAAAGTAAAAATGCTCGAGGCAGGCAGCCTTATCGCATGTATACGTACCGCGCTGCTGTAGGCATTTATTTCATAGATACGGCCGAATTACAATACTGTATAGATAATATTACCGTGGTTCGGGGCAGTTATACTTTGAGTATCCAACCAACTGGAGAGGCCATGCGCGTTAATTTCTAAACAAAAAGTTTGTCAGTTTCAGGGGAAGGCGAGGAAAACACACTACTGTATACTTCACTACAAATGTAAACATGAATCGCGTCACTATATACGCGCACTACAGCATTAGTGTGTGTTCATTGCATTTACGCGTACCATCAAATTGTAGACGTGTCGACACACTGGTGCCGCTGCGCTGTCTACGTGCGTAAGCAACTTAGGGCGAAGACTATGTCGATATTTTTATCGATAAACAAATCATCATAGTCCGCATAAACTAAGCGTTGGCAAAAAAGATTTGTTTTTTCATTTATTACAGCCCTTCACGAGTCCACTGCTGATCATAGGCCTTTCCCAAGGAATGCTACAGAAGCAGGGTCGTGAGCCGCCTGCATCCGTCGATTTCCTGCACGTCTTACCAAATCGTCACTCCATCCAATGGGGGGGTCGCCCTACACTTCGCCCACCGGTCCAAGGCAGACACTCGAAAACTTTAGTTCCCATCGGTTGGCGGTTCTACGAGCTATATGGCCGACCCATTACCACTTCAACTTACTAATCCATTGAGCTATGTCGGTCAATCTGGTTCTTCTGCAGATCTCCTTATGTTTAAGTTTATTATGCAGAGAACCCGAAAATAGCAGTCTCCGTAGCTCGTTTGAGCAACTTTGAGCTTCCTCATATGGCTAGCAGTGAAGTTTTTTTTTAGTATAATATAAAATTATGATTTTATTAGTTATTAGAATTGTGATGTTTTTGAAAAACTGATCCTCAGATTTCAATTTAAATTTAATCAAAACGTTGGTTATTGGTACTTTCCACATTGTGTTTATACCGACCAATAAAATCACTTGTACTCAGTACAGTACACGGTAGCTTTATCGGAATTATCGGATATAATATACCACTTAGTCAATGTCCGTGGTGCAGGCAAACATGTTCCAATAGTTTTACATACATATCGATACGCTTTTCGTTAATAATCAAGTGTTCGGGCGAAACATCTTAACTCTGTGAAATATTCCTATCTTTTCTATTGCCTGTATGTTTTCTTTATTTATTTTTAGACATGTTTGTCTCTGTCTGTGAATCTAGTATTTCTGACAAACTAGTAACTTTTTTCTTTAATGTTACTGCGATTTGAGTTGAGACATTTTTTTAGCTTAATTTTCCTTGGTGTACAGCCTGTTTGCTTAGATACGGTCGTTTTTGTGCCGCGTAACTTCAGCACATGCCGCATTTTCTTAAAAGCGCGACATCTGCTGAAAAGCACCCGAAACGTCGAGAATCAAAACTTAAACGCGAAAAGTCCGTAATATGTAGTCTTCGCGTGAATATAAGAAGTCATTATTGTAAACTTAACGAAATTCTAAAGTATTTTCAAAAAGTATATGTCAAGGATAATAATAAATATATTCCACCATCCTCCACGTTGTGCGCAACTAGTTGTATATTATTATAGGATTATAATAATATACAACTAGTTGCTCACAACGTGGAGCAACTGGTTTTATATAATGGGTATGAATCGGACTCTCGTACCTTGGACAGAGGGGTATGCCTTGCGATGCCGCCTCCTTTGATTTAATACTCAAAGCAGTTGACATGTAATCATAATGTATGGAATGTCAGTGAAATGGCCAAAACTATTTAAATACACCAAGTTTAAAAAATAACCACCGTAGAATCTCAATACAAATTGAACTTAGGAGCTATAACAGTTGCCATTACGTTATCAATAATACCCTTAATCAAATATAGGAAAATGAAGTATTAGATACTTTATAAATAACATACTAAAAAAGACCTCTTCTGGTTTGTGAACTACGGGTCATTGTTGCATAGCTGAATGGTAATTAAATTATAAATGTCAACAATTTTTGCAGATGTTGTGGGGTGACTATTTTATACAATATAGCTTATAAATTACATTTTTGAACATTATTTATAAATATGCATTTTCTCTTGCAACAGTAGTAGAATGATCTAGCAGTGGGGAACTGAGATTATAGTGCCTACATGTCGACCAAACTGATTAGACACCTATTAGAAATGTTACATTATAATCTTAAAAAAATGATGCTGTATATATATTATGATATTATTACTGAGAAGGTAGGAAGGCACAGCATGAAACTTACAATAAATTTAAAACAGACTGCAAAATTATGGTATAAATAAATATTGTACACCATGATTAAATGAGAAAGACATTGCTTTTAGCGTACCCAGACATATTTTTACATGCCCATTTCCTTTTGATGTCTTTTTAGTGTTTTCAACATTGTCAGTTTGAGAAAACGGCTGTATGTATGTATATGTGTATGTATGTATGTATGTATGTGTGTATGTATGTATGTGTATATTATATATATATATATATATATATATATATATATATATATATATATATATATATATGTAGACAATACTTATGTTTAGTCAAGTTGATTTTTTAAAACTGTTAACTTTAATCATATCATGTGACTTAACATCTACTTTACAGAGTAATCTTAACTGATGAGCATGTATGCATAGTTATGAATGTAAACGAGAGATAGGTGTTAGAATCATGTCAAATGGAAGACCATAGTCTCAGTGTACATTTCT